TTGAAATTAGGCAAATATAATTTTTTTTAAATTAATGCCAATGTTGAAAATGAGATTTTTTTGCTATGGAGATGAGATTTTCGTTCGAGTGGAAGGAGAGATAAGATGCAGCCTCTCACAGGTGACAAATCGCGAGCCCCGCGGCGGGATGTAATAAGTGCCGGGTCGCACTACTTTTCAATTCCGCGCCGATCTAATTATGTAAAACGTCTGCGGGACTGCAGCGCATTCAATTTGCGAATCGCAATTATCGCGTGCACGCGAGTAAATGCACCCGTCACCGGTGACTGAACTTTGCATCCGTCTCAATCGGAGCAGAAAATTAAAACGAAAAATTCCACACCTTCAACATCTGATAAGTTGTTGTCACTTTTCGAATCAATTTAAATCACAATTTAGATCCGCAGACACACATTTTTATTAAATTTTTATATTAATTAGAATATAATTCGTTTTTATTTTCAGCACTGGCAGCACTGCTTTGGTTGGCAGCACTGCTAGGTTGGCAGCACTGCTTCGGTAAGGAAAACACTGGTTTAGGAGGGTCGTGTGTCTAATTTCGCCTTTTTTCCCTGAGTTGAAGGCCATGGCATCTGCACATGTGCCGTGGAGGTCACCACAAGGGTACGCTGCCCAGCCACCCATAAATTGTGGCCCTTCTTACGGACATACAGAAAATAGAGCAAAATTCCATCATCCAGCATGGCCCGAAGGAACTCCACCCACCCCCGGACAGGAGATGGCGCCAAACCCTCTGCAAAATGGAAACAATGGACCAGTTCTCAACTCAGGAGGTTTTGGACAGACTTATGCAGGAGGTCCGGCTCCTCCGGGAGCTGTAGTAACGTTGGAGGAAATCATTCAGCGTGTTTTCCAGCATGTCACGCTGCAATTCTCAAATCAGCTCAAAATTCAGAATGACCAACTTGGCGAAATGTTCAGTAAAACAGTATCTTTGATGCAGGAGGAATTCGAAAAGGAACGTTTGTCCTGGAAGGAGAGAGATGAGAAGCACGAGGCTAAGCTGAGGGAGCTTGAGCGGAAGGTCCTTTTCTACGAGAAGAATGCAGAAAATGAGTCGAGCGGTACAGATAACAGACGGAGGCAATTTCACGGCAGGTATCAGAGAGGTTATTATCCACCAATTGCTCCTCTGACAAAGGCTGATGACACACCCTGCGTGAACCAATACATCGATCGCTCTGCCCAACTCGATGAGGCCCTGAAGAATGATGAGTCGCTCGCAGTGGAGGGAGCCAAGGTCAAGTTTGTTGAACATCAAGGGGTCAGTCTACTGGATGCCAAGCAAGAGATAAAGGCACACGCCATAGCCTCTGATCTCTGGACCAGCATGGGGGCTGCACAAGAGGTTACGGCGGCGGTGGGCAAACCAAAAGCGGAGCCGGGAAAGACTGAAATAGGCGGAATCATCAGAGAGAAGACTGAAAAGTACGGTACTGTGTTTCACGTGGTAACTAAAATGAGGTCCCCCCACAAGTTGCACAAAGCACCTGAGCCTTTCCTAAAGGGAGTGAATACTGCATTTGCTAAGCTGGCCCAAGTCATTCGAGAGGAAGAGATTGACGAGATTGCAATGACCTACATGTGCAGTGGCATGGACAGGCTGCATCGCCTCTGGGTCTTGGACACTCTGTACGAAGAACTTCGAGATGTCCCTGTCACTGTTCATCTGTACAACAAGTATGTCTCCAAACGCTGGGGAAACTGTGGGAATTTGTTCAACCCAAAGGAGGCCGGAGAGGAAGAAGAAGAGACTGGAGGGAAGCCGGATGACGGAGAGCAGCTAAATGATGCCCCTAATTCGCAGACTGTTGCACCCAGGGAGAGAAGCAAGCGCAACTGTGGTGCTCGTGAGAAACTTTCTTTATAGATTTCCCTTGTCGAAACAGCGACGTGAGTAACTTAAAATTAGGGCTTTGGAATTGTGAAGGGCTTACGAAAGCATATGAATCTCCGATTGCAACAGAACTGCAAAATTATGATATTCTTCTTTTCACGGAAACATTTTTAAAGAAACCACTTCACATTCCTGGTTTTTATTCAAGGCAAGTTTTAGCTTCACAAAAGGAGGCAGGGCGACCGATGAGGGGAATTTCCGTGTATTTTAATTCTAGGTTAGGAAATTTACTAAATGTGAAATATTTGGAAAACTTCATAATTCTAAATTTTGATGACATTACAGTAGTAACATGCTATTTAAATCCGAAGATACGTTCTACAACAGTGACTAATGAACTTCTCTCAATCCTTAAATATGTTGAAAATTTTGAAAATTTCATTTTGGCTGGAGACTTTAATTGCCGACTGGATACTAAAAACAGAAAAATTGACTCGCTGCTTGATTTTGCTGAGGAAAACAGTCTGACAATAGTAAATGAATATCCATATAAAAGTACCTACGACTGTAGTAATGGTCATAGTGTGGTTGATTTAATCTTCAAAGGGCCAAAAATTTACACCGAAAATTTTAAAATTTGCCCAACCATAAGAAAACATAATTTTATTTCAATAGAATTTAATTTCACGAAACAAAAGAACAGAAATGGGGACATGTCTTTGAATAAGAAAAATTTTAAATTAGATGAAAACATACTTAAAGAGCTTATTGAGACTAAATATAAAAATATTCTAAGAACAAATCTGGAAAAGGGGGACGTTGAAGAGTTTTATAAAAATATGATAAATATTATGAAAGAGGCCGACATTCCTCGTAGGCAAACTGAACGGATTAGTCAACCGTGGTTTGATTCTGAATGCTACGAATTAAAACAGAAATTGAACGAATGGAGAGAGTGCTTGGAAGTGGCTGAAAGTTTAAATGTAACTAGTATAATCAAGATTCTATTACCGCACTATACCGCAATAAAAAGAAATTACAAAAATGTGTGTGAAATGAAGAAGAACGCTTTTGTGCAAATGAAGGAGTTGGACATTTTAAAAGAGGCGGAGCAGAATAAGTGCTATAAAATTCTCAAGTTGAGCAAAAGTTTTTACAATACAAACAATATAATGATGGATGAATGGGAGTGCAATTTTGAAAAAATTTTCAACGAGAAAAAATTGAGTGAAAATGAATCTTTAAATCTGAAAGAGATGATAGTAGATTACAGAAATGATATAAATTTTTCACCTATTATGGAAGAAGAAGTTCTGTTAGCATTAAAGAAAATGAAAAACGGGAAATCCCCTGGACCTGACAAAGTGAAGAATGAAAATATTAAACTACTTGTTGAATCCTTACTCCCCGAAATAACGCAATTTTTCACCAAATGCTTGGAGCTAGGAACATGTCCAGAGGAATGGAGGCAGTCAAATCTAAAACTCTTGTATAAGGGAAAAGGGGACGCGGAAAATACAAATTCATATAGAGGAATATGTATTAGTTCGGCTTTTTACAATCTGTTAGATCGTGTACTGCATGCACGTATCTACTCATCTTTGATTCACGAGATTCCAGGCAATCAATATGGTTTTGTGAAAGGAAAATCCACTTTACAGGCAATTAAGTCCTTAGTTAATAACACTCAAGAGACAGTTTATAAGAAGAAATCACCCTTATATGCCTTATTTTTGGATGTAAGTAAAGCTTTTGACTCAATAGATAGGGCGTTTATTTTTAAGAAGTTAATAGAAAGCAAGAAGCTAACGTTCACGGAGTTAAATTATTTAGCTCACAACTTAGACTTAAATTTCTTGAGAATAGTAGATGGAGTAACAGTATCAAAACTTATTACACAATCAAATGGGGTAAGACAGGGGGGATGCACGTCCCCATTTCTGTTCAATTACTCTTTAGCTGATATAAATAATATTCTACGAGATTTGCCAAACGTGAAAGCCATTTATTATGCAGATGATATTGTTTTAACCTCAGAAAAATTAAGTGACTTGAAAATTGCTTTAGCCAGAATGAAAGAATTTTTGTTAAAACGCAGTTTGAAACTTAACTTGGAAAAGTGCAAATTCATGAAATTTAGAAATAAGGGTCTAGGAAAATATGCATTAAGTGACCGCCTAGATTTAGGTGGAATTGAAATAGAGAGAGTTGCTGAGTTTACATATTTAGGAGTTACTTTTCAACCATCAGGAATCTCTTTTGGAAAGCACATTGAAAAAAGAACAAGAGCTGCATTGCTGGCCACTTATAATATACGAGAACTAAAACAATTATCCATTGAAACAGCACACAAGCTATTTGATCTAAAAATTTCCCCAATTGCGTCCTACGGCATTGAAGAAATATGGCCTTTCCTAACAAAGACTGATTTTGAAAATCTTGAAAAAGTCAAAACAAGATATTTAAAAAGAGTTTTAGGACTGTCCAAGTATATTAGATCTAGATTTGTGTATGAATTAGTTGACACTGATCTCTTTGTATCGGACTTACAGGTAAAATATTCTCTAACTGAAACTGAAGCATTCCAGAAATTTTGTGTGTCTAAATATTTAAACAAACTTGAGATATGTGATGAGTTCTACGAGACAGAAACTATGAAGAATAAAAATTGGCAATGTGCAATGTTCAGTGATCGCCAAGTGTTTACGAGATTTGCCTGTCACGGGTACCACTATTTATTTTGTAAGAATAAAAATTTTCATTCTCAAGCGACAATAGATTGTGAATGCAAGCACTGCGGTAAGAAATGTTCACAATATCATATTCTTGAATGTAATGAACGAAAACTAAGCCTAAGAGAGGCTGCAAAAATCAAAATTAACTAATTTTGTACTTTGTAATAATTATCGAAACAAGCTTAATTGTAAAATTAATTTTAGGAAGACAAATTAGCTTTAGACACCCGTTGTACACCTAGTTGTGTTCAATAAATACTCTATCTATCTTTTTATTTTCAACTCAATATTGAGTTTAACTTTCAACTTGAACAGTGGCGTGTGTAATTAAATTTTACAATAAACTTAATTTCATGTTTAGAATTATAGCTCATCAGGAGCCTTATTAATAAACAAAAATATATTTTTTATGCTGTAATATCTTGAATTTATTGTAAGACACAAATAAATAAGATATGGAGACAAATTTTTATTTATTCACACAGGAATTAATACAATTTTGTACTGAAATGCCCGCAATAAAAAATATTAATGATACGGCAAAGGCCAATTATCTCTTGTCTTCCAAGCATTCAGAAAAATTGATTACTCAATAATTAAAAATTAAAATACGTTAAATATAACCAATGTGATTGCAACAACAATGGCAAATAAACTACAATAGTATATAAAAAACAGCTTTTTTACCAAGATTATGCTCATTATTTAGAATATTGAATATTTGCTATATTAAAAATCTTACAAAACAATTTAAAACAGCAATATTTTTACTTAAATAATTAAAAGAATCTTAGAAATGCAGATATCGGACTTTTTCCTTGTTGCAAAAAGCCCGATATCTTCATTTCCACAATCATCTCATCGAGTGACAACTTCTTCAAACAAAAAAATTTTAGTTTCAAAAAACAAAGCAAATACAAAGTTTTTACCTATAAAAAGCGTGGCTTGTCCATTGAAATCATTGAGCAAAGTAAAATATTACAATATAATGATATTATTATAGATTCCATTTCTTCTTTGGCTTCTTTTAAAAGATTTACAATCAAAGTTAAACAGACGAAATTGGTAACATTAAGGCAGGATATTATTTGCCAATACGTCTTGCATACTAAGTGGGAAAAAATAACATGCAAAGTGATAAAGAATAAGTCATTAATGGAATTATTTGAATAACTACAATGATATAATGTCCATAAAATGTTCCTCATTTTACACGCATAGATCAGCCTTCAATTAACAGATCGCGGGTCATCAATCAGTAGCACTCCCTCGGCAGTTCGCAAATAAAATAATTAGTATCTCTGCAATTATAGCCGTTCAATTTCCCTCCAGTATATAAATAGACGCAGCCCCCGAGTTTGTCAGCATAGTCTCGCCACAAGGTGCTGTTTTGTGGCAGTTCTGAGCCGTCGTGCCAACGAACGTTGTATCGCGTTGGGATTTCGTAGTTGATTGCAGACAACCACCAGGTAGTCTCTGAAATCACATTAATTATCAGAAATTAAACTTTATTAAGATTCATTGAAAGTCTGATTGAAATTTCAAAGTTTCTCCTCACCAACGATAGTGTTGGCGTGTGCCGTGGTCGCGTTCAGGTCGGTGTGGTCTCTCAGAGTCGCCAAATGCAGGCTCATCGACGCACAAGTCTTGTTCGCTTCAATCCAGTTCTTCTATAAAATCAAACAAGCGCAGGATTTGAGAAAAAACCTGCGTTAAAAAGGAACCACTTACATAATATGTATGAAAGTAATACTTCTTGCCGTTGGACAGCCTAGTCAAATTTGCCTTTTCTAAAGAATAAGTGAATTCAAATTTGCACAAATTGGTTTAAGAATTGAAACTCACTGGCAAGAGAGCAGTTGGACGTAAATTTGTATTGCTTGAGCTGAAATCATGAACTCGATTATTTGCAATTGGAAAATTTTAAAAATTGGAAATTCTACCCAAAGGTCGCGCTCAGCAATTTTAGCCAAGTGGGCCAGCTTATCATTAGCCGCATTGTCATTTTGCCGAATCATCTGTGAGAAAACGCAGAAATTAAAGGATAAAATATAATAAGAATAGTAATAAAGATGCTCCCAGATGCTGCTCCCAACAATTTATTCTTTTAATTGATTTTTTCAGTAATTTTGGATTAGCTCCTAATTGAGTAATTTCAAACCATTTGAAAAATTGCGTTTATCAAATCAAAAGCAAATACCTGAGAAAGGTTTTTAAAACGTTCTTCTGTCGACTCCTTTTCCAACCGAGTTTCGTTCTTCAGTGCCAAAATCTGTTGCAGAAACGCTTTCTTGATTTCTGCCGCCTTCTCCTCCTCATTTTTCAACATCTGTCAGGTAATTTTCGTTTTCAATTCATTTTCATGATCTCATTTTTTGAAAAGGTCATTTTCATCGTTGAAGAAAAGCCGAAATTTTTTTTTAATTTACTTAATTTAATTTCGATCCATATTTTTACCTGTTCGTAACGCACATCGGCGTTTTTGGCAAATTCTTTCAGTGTTTGATTTACCTCTTCGGCACTTTTCGCCAACTTCTCAACCACCAGTTCATCGCTTTTCACAGCCTAGAAAAAAGTTGTGGTCTCAAAATATCGGGAAGGCTTACATTTAAAAAAAAGCCAATAAAAAAAGAATATAATAAAAAATGCGATACAAGAATAAAATGATTATTATAATTTCTCCTATGACTGAACCTGTTTGTGGCGATCTTCAGCGTTTTTGGCCAATTCTTTCAGTTTTTGATTCGTCTCATTGGCACTTTGCGTCAATAGCTTCTCTCTATCTAATGCCTAGAGAAATAAGCGCAACCAGTAAAAATCTTGCCAAGATTATCATATTAATCTCTAATAGAAAAAACTCCAAGATTGCGCAAAAAATGTAGTACTTAAACATATGATTTTCTGAATGAAAATACCTGTTTGTGGCGATCGTTGGCGCGTTTTGCCGATTCCTTGATTTGTTCATTTGTCTCGTTAAATTTTATCAATAGAATATGTTCAAATTCTGCCTTCAATTTTAACTCCTTCAATATTAAGGAAAAGTTAATCTTAACAATTTCCTTAAAGTTCAAAATAAATTTCCAACCTCGCTGTTTGCGTTCTTGAGCAAACCGAATATTCCAAGCAAACGCTCCTCCACATTGCACATCTAATTAAAATTATTATAATTTAATTATATGTTCCCTACTTAACACCAAAAAACTAAATTTTGATTTTCCATGCGTGATTTAATTTTCTTTAAATCGATTTAACTTTTGTACTCGTACTTTGTCGGCGAGGAGGAAGTAGTTGAGGAGGGCGGTGGTGACGACGTAGAAAATGGCACAGCTGACGAAAGCGACCTTCAGGGCTCTCACCGAATACTCCCCTTCCTTCTTCTTCACCTTTTTCACCCTCGTGGGCAGCCGAATTCGCACCGACCCTTCATCCTCCGTTTTTGATGCATTTTGGTCCTCCGCATTTGAAGGACCAGGCACGTCGTAAATTACTTCTGCTTCCATGTTCGAACCGTTCGAACAAAGTGAACCAGGAAGAAATGGGGCTGCAGTTTCTCTTATTAAATTGCGTAAATGCCGCTCCCTTTTCCGTTTCGTTCAGATTGTGGTCGCCGAGCAAGGGAAAATTGGACGGGGTTTTCTGTTCTCGCAAAACATTTATCGCTTTAATAAGTGCGATTAAGTCCAACTTAATCTAAATTTATTCACGGTACAGTGGTTTAAAATACTAGGATTGTGGCATTAATTCAACCTATTAAATTCAGCTAATTTTTAAATGATATGAATTAAAAATGCAATTGCTGATAATCTTTATTTTTTTTCTGGAAGAAATAAGTTAAAAATAGAAATATATCTTTTATATATATATTTTTTTTTTTGAGAAATATGAAAATGGAAGTGGAAAAACATTTAATGAGGTTTATATCATGTTGTTAAAAAAAAAATACATAAACTTAATTTCATGTTTAGAATTATAGATTATAGCTCATCAGGGACCTTACTATAAAAAAAATATATGTATATTTTTTATGCTGTAATATCTTGAATTTATTGTAAGACGCAAATTAATAAGATATGGAGACAAATTTTTATTTAATGACACAGAAATTAATATAATTTTGTACTAAAATGCCCGTAATAAAATATACTAATTATACGGCAAAGACAAATTATCTCTTGTCTTCCAAGCATTCAGAAAAATAGATTACTCAATAATTAAAATACGTTAAATATAACCAATGTGATTGCAACAACAATGGCAAATAAACTACAATAGTATATATAAAATATAGCTTTTTTACCAAGATTATACTCATTATTTAGAATATTGAATATTTGCTATATTAAAAATCTTACAAAACAATTTAAAACTGCAATATTTATACTTAAATAATTAAAAGAATCTTAGAAATGAAGATATCGGACGTTTTCCTCGTTGCATAAAGCCCGATATCTTCATTTCCACGATCATCTTATCGAGTGTCAACTTCATCAAACAAAAAAATAATCTTAGTTTCAAGAAACAAAGCATATACAAAGTTTTTACCTATAAAAAGCGTGGCTTGTCCGTTGAAAGCATTGAGCACAGTAAAATATAACAATATAATGATATTATTATAGATTCCATTTCTTCTATTGCTTCTTTTAAAAGATTTATAATTAAAGTTAAACAGACGAAATTGGTAACATTAAGGCGGGATATTATTTGCCAATAATTTAACGACTTGCATACTTAGTGGGAAAAAATAACATGCAAAGTGATAAAGAATAATTCATTAATGGAATTATTTGAATAACTACAATGATATAATGTCCATAAAATGTTCCTCATTTTTCACGCATAGATCAGCCTTCAATTAACAGATCGCGGGTCATCAATCAGTAGCACTCCCTCGGCAGTTCGCATATAAAATAATTATTATCTCTGCAATTATAGCCGTTCAATTTCCCTCCAGTATATAAATAGACGCAGCCCCCGAGTTTGTCAGCACCGTATTTCCACAAGGTGCTGTTTTGTGGCAGTTCTGAGCCGTCGTGCCAACGAACGTTGTATCGCGTTGGGATTTCGTAGTTGATTGTAGACACCCACCAGTCAGATCCTGAAATCACATTAATTGTCAAAAATCAAACTTTATTAAGATTCCTTGAAAGTCTGATTGAAATTTCAAAGTTTCTCCTCACCACGCCTAGTGGCGTTGGCGTGTGCCCTGGTCACGTTCAGGTCGGTGTGGTCTCTCAGAGTCGCCAAATGCAGGCCCATCGACGCACAAGTCTTGTTCGCTTCAATCCAGTTCTTCTGTAAAATCAAACAAGCGCAGGATTTGAGAAAAAACCTGCGTTAAAAAGCAACCACTTACAGAATATGTATGAAAGTAATACTTCTTGCCGTTGGACAGCCTAGTCAAATTTGCCTTTTCTAAAGAATAAGTGAATTCAAATTTGCAAAAATTGGTTTAAGAATTGAAACTCACTGGCAAGAGAGCAGTTGGACGTAAATTTGTATTGCTTGAGCTGAAATCATGAACTCGATTATTTGCAATTGGAAAATTTTAAAAATTGGAAATTCTACCCAAAGGTCGCGCTCAGCAATTTTAGCCAAGTGGGCCAGCTTATCATTAGCCGCATTGTCATTTTGCCGAATCATCTGTGAGAAAACGCAGAAATTAAAGGATAAAATATAATAAGAATAGTAATAAAGATGCTCCCAGATGCTGCTCCCAACAATTTATTCTTTTAATTGATTTTTTCAGTAATTTTGGATTAGCTCCTAATTGAGTAATTTCAAACCATTTGAAAAATTGCGTTTATCAAATCAAAAGCAAATACCTGAGAAAGGTTTTTAAAACGTTCTTCTGTCGACTCCTTTTCCAACCGAGTTTCGTTCTTCAGTGCCAAAATCTGTTGCAGAAACGCTTTCTTGATTTCTGCCGCCTTCTCCTCCTCATTTTTCAACATCTGTCAGGTAATTTTCGTTTTCAATTCATTTTCATGATCTCATTTTTTGCAAAGGTCATTTTCGCCGTTGAAGAAAAGCCGAAAAATTCTTTTGATTAATTTAATTTAAATTCGATCCATTTTTACCTGTTCATAACGCACATCGGCGATATTCACCAATTCTTTCCGTGTTTGATTTACCTCGTCGGCACTTCTCGCCAACTTCTCAACCACCAGTTCATCGCTTTTCACAGCCTAGAAAAAAGTTGTGGTCTTAAAATATCGGGAAGGCTTACATTGAAAAAAAAGCCAATAAAAAATGCGATACAAGAATAAAATGATTATTATAATTTCTCCAATGACTGAACCTGTTTGTGGCGATCTTCAGCGTTTTTGGCCAATTCTTTCAGTTTTTGATTCGTCTCATTAACACTTCTCGCCAACTTCTTATTTTCTTCAGCCATCATTTTCAGAGCCTAAAAAAATTTCGGGGTTCAAAAAAAATCTGGCCAAGTCTCATTGTACGCAGAAAAAATTAGGAAAAATAATTTTAAAAATATATAATTATTTTGTATGTCTAAACCTGTTTGTGGCGATCGTCGGCGTTTTTGGCCAATTCTTTCAGTTTTTGATTCATCTCATTGGCACTTTTAGCCAACTAGTAAAGTTGAACCCAAAAATAAAAATAAAAAAATTAATTGGGTGGTGCCTTCTGTACCACCAATAAAGGGCACAGGCCGACAGGACTTTGTCTTGGCCTGACCGTATAAAAAAAAACTTCTTATTTTCTTCAGCCATCAGCTTCAGAGCCTAAAAAAATTTCTGGGCTCAAAAAAAATCTGGCCAAGTCTCTTTGTACTCACAATCAGGAAAAAAATAGGAAAAATAATCTTAAAAATATATAATTATTTTGTATGAAAAAACCTGTTTGTGGCGATCGTCGGCGTTTTTGGCCCATTCTTTCAGTTTTTGATTCGTCTCATTGGCACTTTGCGTCAATAGCTTCTCTCTATCTAATGCCTAGAGAAATAAGCGCAACCAGTAAAAATCTTGCTATGATTATCATATTTATCTCTAATAAAAAAACTCCAAGATTGCGCAAAAAATGTAGTACTTAAACATATGATGTTCGGAATGAAAATACCTGTTTCTGGCGATCGTTGGCGCGTTTTGCCGATTCCTTGATTTGCTCATTTGTCTCGTTAAATTTTATCAATAGAATATGTTCAAATTCTGCCTTCAATTTTAACTCCTTCAATATTAAGGAAAAGTTAATCTTAACAATTTCCTTAAAGTTCAAAATAAATTTCCAACCTCGCTGTTTGCGTTCTTGAGCAAACCGAATATTCCAAGCAAACGCTCCTCCACATTGCACATCTAATTAAAATTATTATAATTTAATTATATGTTCCCTACTTAACACCAAAAAACTAAATTTTGATTTTCCATGCGTGATTTAATTTTCTTTAAATCGATTTAACTTTTGTACTCGTACTTTGTCGGCGAGGAGGAAGTAGTTGAGGAGGGCGGTGGTGACGACGTAGAAAATGGCACAGCTGACGAAAGCGACCTTCAGGGCTCTCACCGAATACTCCCCTTCCTTCTTCTTCACCTTTTTCACCCTCGTGGGCAGCCGAATTCGCACCGACCCTTCATCCTCCGTTTTTGATGCATTTTGGTCCTCCGCATTTGAAGGACCAGGCACGTCGTAAATTACTTCTGCTTCCATGTTCGAACCGTTCGAACAAAGTGAAGAAATGGGGCTGCAGTTTCTCTTATTAAATTGCGTAAATGCCGCTCCCTTTTCCGTTTCGTTCAGATTGTGGTCGCCGAGCAAGGGAAAATTGGACGGGGTTTTCTGTTCTCGCAAAACATTTATCGCTTTAATAAGTGCGATTAAGTCCAACTTAATCTAAATTTAATCACGGTACAGTGGTTTAAAATACTAGGATTGTGGCATTAATTCAACCTATTAAATTCAGCTAATTTTTAAATGATATGAATTAAAAATGCAATTGCTGATAATCTTTATTTTTTTTCTGGAAGAAATAAGTTAAAAATAGAAATATATCTTTTATATATATATTTTTTTTTTTTTTGAGAAATATGAAAATGGAAGTGGGAAAACATATTATGTAATGAGGTTTATATTGTATTGATAAAAAAAATACATATTAGTTGTCATTTTGTAGCAATTTACTAAATTTTTGTTACCATTAGAAGCGGATATAGAATATGTCTTGAAGCCCTAATTTTACAATTATAATGATTTATAAAGTAATAAGATCAAATTTATTTTAAGACTTTTAAGATTTACTCTTTATTAGAATCAGAGATATCATCAAAAAGATGCTATTTAAATATGATTTAATATTTTACCTTTCACCAGAATATTTGGATATAAAAGAATTTGATTTTAGCGATGATATTATAATTTTAATTTTTCTTTCAATTTTTTTAAATCTCTGGTTGTAATTGAAAAATAAAATGCAGAAGTCGCGGTTTTCATACCAAAAAATGCTTTATTTATACCCTTATTACAAAAAAGCCCTACGGCACTTTATCAACTTGTAAGGCCTGATAAAAATAAATAAGTGTAAACCAATTAAAAAACACTCCAAACGACGAGTTTCAAGTAATATAACACTAATTTTTCTGCAACATGTTTCAAAACATACAATTTACAATAAACACATTTTTTTTTTATATTTAACGCAATTAGATTTAATAAAAAACAGAATTGTAAGAGACATTAATCTTCAATTAAATTACGACGTCAGATCATTAACTGGACATTCATTCAAATGATCTACATGGACTTTCCAATTTTTTTGCGCTGTGGATCTGGTTTGATGTGCGCGAGATGACTTTGCGAAAGGATTCAAATTAAGATTTGCATAAAAAGTTCAAATGCAACTGACGCGAGACGCACGAAGGAGGAAGATGAATAGGATTTTTTTTATTAAATGCGAAAAGTGAAATTGCAGTTTGGAAAAAAAAATTGAAAAATCACCCATCGTTTACATTATTTTGATTTGCCGCGACTTTCCATTCCTTGCAGCTCGAACGGAGGCAAAAGAGATGCAATTTGAAAAGTGCTCGCTCTGCTCTTTTTGCCAAATTGATGGTATGCGACATTGTCTCGTGTTCTGCATGCAGATAAATTTTGAATTATGGCAAGAATAACTTCCTGCTGCGACAACCGATTGTCTTTGCCACGCGCGTGCTGCAAAGAATCGCTCTCTCGTCACACAAACAAATAATATAAATTGAATAATCGTGGATGACAATGAAGAAGGTGATCGCGTGCCAAACTTATAATCGCAAAAAGAGGCAACAAACAAAGGACTTTAAATAACGCTTTAGGTCTTATTAAACTGTGACGCCAAAGGAAGGAGTCTAGATTTTGTTTATTTGAATTAGAATTACTTTTAGTGAAATAATATTGAGTGTAAGCTTGAAAAAGTCGAGATTTTGGCTCAAGAAAGGTGACTCAAATTAATTGAATAGGAGAAAAAACTTGCTATATTCTTAAAACAGCAGCTTTCCAAAACATATTTATGTAATTAATTAATTTAATAAAACTATTAAATGATAAATTATCTCAAAATTTCAAGCTTTAATTAATGTAATGAATTTTCTTCAAGATTTAAAAAACTTTTTTGGCATTTTTCTAAACAAATGTGCTCAAATGTGAATTTCAAAAATAGTTTAAAATGCTTTTATATAAAAAAATAGAAATAAAATATGTATAGTTGATTTAAAAAACTTAAGATTTTGAATTGGCTAAATTTTGCTCCAAATTGTACAAAATTTAATAATAATTTAGTTCATTAAAGAAAGAATTTCTTTGTTTTAATTAAATTCATTTTAGCTAAATTGCACAAAATACGTAATGCACTTTGTAATTTGCATCATGTTGGTGGTTGGAACGTTTTGCCTGCGCCGTGATGTGGCCACGTGCACGCGATGCTCGGCACCTGCGCTGCCAATATGTGTGCGATGTGTAAAAGCAGCCCCATTACATTGAAAGGAGCAGCAAAAAGTTGCCATTATTTATGGGGGCTAATTGAACACGGGGTGCAACAACAATGCACCGGCCGCTGCACGTGGCTCACACCCTGTCTGCAATTTGCGCTGCAAACATCACGACTGTGCGGCACGTGCGCGGCTCAAATCCCAACGGCGTGACCGACCATAACAATCGCAAACATTCATAAAGGCAAACTGGAGGAGATTTTAGTTTTTGTGTCAAAAATTTAAATTTCAATGGTTTTAAATCATATATAATTAAAATTTAAAGAGAATTAAAATTAAAATTATGCAGAAAATATTAAGGGTTATTTTGATGAATTCAGTCTTTTATTTTAATTTAAAATTCAGCAGATGAAAAATAAATTTAGATTAATTTAAAATTTTTAAATACCTGTTTAAGATTTGGTTCAAATTAGTTAAATAATTAGGCAAAAAGTTAAAATAAATTTATTAAATCTTCTAAATAATGTTAAACTTTTATTAAATTAATAACTAATTTGTGTTGTTTCCGAGAATGTGTAAAAATTGAACCAGAAATTTAACTGAATTCACTAAAAAATCAGTTGAGCTGAAGCAGGAATTCATTTCTTTCAAAATCAATAAAAAATGTACTCAAATTTCAATCTCTACAATTCTGTTTGATCAATTAAACTTTTAAATAAATAAATTGTTAATTTCAATGTTTTTTTATTTGTTGCAGATCGTGTTTAGCAATGGAGTGGACGCGGTGGAGCGTGTTTTTGCTGGTGGCTTCGTCGGCCACGATTTATGGTAAGTGAAAAGGAGCAGCTCCGTCGTCTTTCTTCTTCTCTCTCCGTTTCATGTGCGGTCGCCGGGCAAAATAATTCTCTCTTTGCGGCACAACATTGAACTTGTCAAACGAACTTGACCTTTGCAAAGCGAGTGACACCGCAAACAAAAGCGCGCGCGAGATATTTATATGCATATGCACCGGTTGCATATTGTTTAAATCAGACGACACAATGACAAATCGCTCCCCAGCGCCGCCCATGCACACCACCCACCACACTTAATTTAAATGCGACACAACAACAGCATTGTAATTAAATATTAAAATATGTTCCGACGAATCGCGTGACGAAAGTTGATTGCTAAAGAGTTAATAATTCTTAAAAATTGTTAAACACTTTGAAGGATTAAAAGCTGATATTTTATCTTCGCATTCATCAATTGAAATAAATTTAAAAAAAAAATTAACTTTCAAGTTTCACGGCGTATTCTTGCTTTGGCAATTTTGAGTATTAAAAACTTCATTTTTTGTCAAAAACAAGTTACTTAAATTTGAATAACACTTATTTGCGCAAATATCTTTTATATAAAGAGAAAAAGTGAAAGAAGTGATTTTGAATTTTGATTTGACGTTAGAGTTGCAAAAGATGTCCACATGACTGCACGTATTAGGTGCATAATAATAATATAGAAGTAAGCCCTGTACTTAGGCTGGGTGGATGCAAACAATGGCGGGTCCGGAATAAACAGAGACGCGCTCAAGAGGCTTCATTAGCGAGAGAAAGGGTGTTTGTGTTGGGGTGCAGCACAAAAGTGGAGGAAAAACTGCCTTGTTCAGACTTGATTACGCCGCACAAATCGATTTACTTTCAGACTCTCCAATTTTTCCAATTAATTAACTCCACTTTAATTAGTATGAAAGATTTTCATTAAAGCATGGAATTAAAATTAATATGATTTCTTTCCTTTTTTTAATAATTTTCAATTAAACTTTGCAATTTTATGCCAATTTTATTAAAAATTTCAAGATCTGTGATTCTTTTTTGTTATTTTTTAATTTTCCTGCCAAAAATTAAAACTTTTATTTAATTTTAATAAAAATTCTATTAAGTTTTACTAAAAAATGCACTGAATTTTAAATTATCAATAATATATGTTTTGAAAACAAAGCTGTGATTTCGATCTGGAATTGAGTGGTTTATTTGTATTTAAAATGCAATAAGAATCTTCCTTTCTGCCGTCCAATATCGTGTTTGGTCAAAGGGAGAGCAGATCAAAGTGCATGTGTTGGTATATAAATCGGCAATAGGTCGCGTGCATTTGCAAGCCATAAATGCATCTGCCTGCACACGTAATAAAACTGCAATTGAATTGCACCGCCGACGGCACGCGCGACTTGCATTGGCAGCCTCGCGGCGGGCAAATCCACTTGACCTTCCAACTTACAACCCCACTTTCCAATTCGCAAACTTTCCTTCCTTTTAAATAATAATTTCTGAAGCACGGCCAATTTTTTTATTTTATTGCCATGCAATCATGCAGATTTTATTTTACAATTTTGCAAAATTTAATAAAAATAATTTTGAGAAAATTTTAAAATCAGTTTTTGTCAAAGAGAGGAACTTTAAGAAGTAATTAAAATAAGCTATATATAAGTTTCTTTGGAAAAAATATTCAGAATCTCCATATTTTTTAACGATTCAATTCTACGCACAATATTTGGAAAATATTTTCATTATAAAAATGGCATTCTTTCAAGGGAATAATCAAATTTTCGCCATTAATTGAAACAATTATTTATGTCTGCTTTTTTGTTGCCTAATTTTTTAATATTTTTATTGGGTAGAAAACTAATGAATACACTCTAGTGTCTGATAATTTGAAACCCAAAAAGGAAATATATCTGATTTTTAAATTTGTTTATTAAATTTCTGAATGAGATTTCGTTCTCATTTGATGATAGCTGGGCTAAAATTTGCAAATTAATTTGTACCCATTTTATAGAGATAGAAAGTTATAAAGGTCAAAGCTTCCTTCGAAAAACTTGTACCCAACCAAAACACTTTTCAACCTCCTCCTTTTCTACTTGTCTATTCTCTGTAAGATAAAATCTTCTTTTTCCGTCACTGATGGTCGCTTGACCTGACAATTTTCAAATCGAAACTATAAGAGGAGCCAAACCAGTTTCCGTTTTCACCGCAGTTTTTGGTCACGTTGGAATTTGCTTAAAGGTCAAGCTAACTTTTTTGTGCCTCGCAGATTTTTCTCTTTTTTTCGAAAGAAAAATGAATAATGAGAAAAGTGAATGTGAGATAATTGCTGTTTGCCGAGGTAATTAATTTCTCATCTCGCGACACATGATTTACGCTCGACTGCGGCCAATAATCGCGCGAAACTAATTATGTAGAACGAGATGACTGGATTATATCTCCTATATCTTGATTCCTACAAACAACTTGATCAATTCTAATGATTTCATATTATGAAGAAAAAGCGAAAGTTTTCTTTTCAATTCATTTCTGGAACTAATTTATTTGCATTTGATTCTTTCAAAATCAGTTCAGTGCCTTCATGAATTTCGCAAACAAGTTTAAGAAAAAAATATAAAATGATCCGTATTTTGATTTTACTTCCGTAGAATCTGATTTAAAAAAAAAAGGAAATTTTCCGCTCAAAAGTACTATTTATGTTGTCTTTTTCAACTGAAAATATAAAAAAGTAATTAAAAATTCGTTATTTTTTAGTGAAAAAGTTCCACCCACTTTAAAAAGTTGCAAACCGTCTCGATATGTTTCTAATTTCACACAAGGCTCAGAATGATTTGCGTCCAAATTAATGGAAAATTAATAAAAATTTCAATTTTTAAATAAAATAAATTTGATTGTTTTGGTCAACAACACTTTCACCTATTTTGAAACGAAAAGTTATTTAATGAAAGCGTAAATCAGGCGTAAATGTCGGATGAAAAATTATTCTTCATTTGCACATGCGGGTAACTAAGACTTGTTTTTACCGTTTCTTGTTCGCAGGTTGCCAATTCGAGCCGGCCGGCGACTACCTGCGCTTTGTGCGCGTGCCTGAGAACGTGCCGGTGGGCGGCGAGATCCTGAGGGTGCAGGTGCGGCCCCAGGGCCTCCTCACCATCCAGCCCATGGACAAAGTGAGTCCAATTTTCCACCCTCTGATGCAATTATTCCCGCTTTGATCGACGCACACGCTCGATTCAAATTGAAAAACGAAAAAATAAATTAAACTAATTCCCAACCGGTTGTGATTCGACCAGTTAATTTGCAACTGAATAAGATGCAAAGTTTTTTTTTCACTTCAATCGAATTTACAAAATAATATTGCATAATTATTTTTTTTGTCCTGCAAAAATAAATTTTTTTTTAAATTTTTATGTATTTTAAACAATTTTAATTAAATTGAAAGGTTAATTTTATTTAAAATTAAAGTAAATTTTTAAATGAACTTTGCAATTGAAGCATGAACCGTTCATATTCAAATGAATTGAAAATTAAGCTGGATGAAAGTATGACTTTTTCATAAAAAAATTAACTTCCTAAGAAAAATGTTAGGTATGATTCGGGTTTCTTGATTTTACACTCGAATTTTAATTTTAAATTTGTGAAATTCAGTTTGAAATTTCCCTTCATTTTAATTGATAAAAAAATTGAACAGTTCAATAAAAAATTTACATATTTATAATCAAACGTCTTTCTTTTTAAAATATATGGATAATAATAATTATGGCGTTTTTATTCTAAACGTTCTTTTGTTTCTTTGCATTGGTGATGAAATTTAACCACGTTTTTAATTGATAGTTCACAATTTTCTGCACTTGGAACGAAATTAAATAAAAAGGCCGATGTCTATATTTCTTCTCTTTATAGAAATTGAAAAAGTGTGAATTATTTTTGCTTAGAATTAATTATGATTTGAATTTGCGTCTTTTTTGGCCAAACGTTGATATATTTTTATTCGTTCTTTCTCACGAGAGAAATTGTGCCGAGAAGGGGCTGCTCTGTTTGCATTGAAGGTCGCACTCGCCGCTAATGATAATTTCCTGCTGATCAGCCACGGCGAAACTTGATCGCTCGGCGGCAAATTGGACTTTGTTGTCGCGAATTTGGGCTGCGCGCTTCAATTTGGCGCGACCTCAATTGTTCGTCAAAACCAAATTTTCCCAATTTTCCCGTTCACGAGCCAGAAAATAAAATAGAATCCACTTTTCGAAAAGCGTTTTGTCTTCTAATTTATTGCGCTGCATTCCATAATTTTACATTGGAATTCGAGAAATAATTTATCCCTTTATTACCTATTTCGGATGATAATTTAATAGAAAAGGCTAATTATTATTATCGACATTGAGATTCTTTTTCCACCTATCAAATATTTAGAAACTTTTACTTTCACCAATTTTTATAAAAATCACATAATTCGTCTTGCAGGAGAGGAAAAAATGAAAATATGTCTATAAAAAATTATATTCTATTCCTGAGCGCGCTTTTCGATACTTCAGAGCAGAAGTGTTACAAAGTTCAATTTTAATTAGCGTCGCGTGCAAAGTTTGCTGCTCACGATGATGTGTTGATTTCGTTACGCTGGCATTGAGAGACGCGCCTGCCTCACTTTCCCCTTTGTCGCTGTAATTAAGAATTATATAATAACCTTTTAAGTACTTCCAGATTTCAAAAGATAAAATCAAAACCATTGTAAAGTAATTTAGCCGTTTAATGTTTTATTGAAAAAGCATTCGATTCTGGCCATTAATCAAAAGTTTTTCAGATTTTAGCAATGAAAATGTTTGAAACGCAACAAATCTTCAAAATGTTTTAAGAATTTTATGTAAATTTTTTTTTTTTTTTTGCAAAATTGATTCAATTATTAAAATAGTTTTTTATTTTGATTTGGTGCTTTTCACGTTTACGAGAAAAGATAAAAATGCGGAAAAGTTTATGAAGTGTTTTGCTGGAAATAAGAAATGATGTCTCGTTCCCGCGATTGATCGTCGCATCAGCGAGCGTTGTTCTGTATTCTGCACGAGGCGCGCATGCAAAACACCCTATTATTTATCCTCTAAAGCATAAAAAAAACTCTTGATGCAGCGGCAAATTTAATAACATCGCCAAAGCTCGACTCGCGGCGGCGGCGGCGCATTAATAATCGTCTTTTAATGGCCGTACTTTTTCTTCTTCTTGAATGAGGAAAACATCAAAAAAGGCTCAGGTTGGCGGAAAAAGATAACAAATGTCCATAAATTGTAATTCATAGAGAGTGTTCTATAAAAATGTGTCAAAACATGGCAAAATATTTTACTAATAATTAAAAGAAATGAAAATTTGGATTTTTTTTTAAATAAAAGTCTCAATTTTGAATGAAATAGGCAAATCAATTTTTATTTGGCAATTGTCAAAAAATAAAAGTATAACTTCTTAATATTTTGAAAACAAAAAAAATATTGCTATTTATCCTTTCCACAGAAAATGAATTTTTATGAAATTACGTGCCATAAATTTGTTCCAATCTGAATTTCACAATTGTCTTGAGAATTTTAGCATTTTTGTGTGGATATTTTTGCTAAATTTTGTATTTTATGTTTGAATGTGAAGGAGGAGGACGCGCAGTACTTCAAGGTGTCGTCGGTGAACGGGTCGTGGGTGCGGGTGTCGCTGGCCCGCAGCCTCGAGGACCTCGTCGACTCGGACATTCCGCAGAGCGTCCTCAAGTTCCGGCTCGCCTGCCTCGACCCCATCGACGAAACGGTTTGATCAAATTTTTTTTTTATTAAATTGTAAGTTAATTAATTTTGTGCAGGTGTCGTCGTCATATTTGTCCGTGACCGTGTACGTGGAGGACGTGAACGACCACGCGCCGCACTTCCTCGGCACTCCGTACCACGTCACCGTCGACGAACTCACGCCCGCCGGTTCGAATAAAAATTCCTTTCATCCGACACATAGGCAACTTGCTCGACTCTACTGCAGAGCGGACAGCACTAAAAAAATCATAGCTTTTTTATATTTGATATTCCTGTTTTATTATTCTTCATTAAAAAAACATTAATTTCAAATTTGTGCATATTTTTTATTAAATTCATTTCCAAATTTTAATTGCACAATCCGAGATGCTATCAATAATCAATAAATTCTTTTGGAAAAGTGAATAACAAAATATGTAAGGAAAAGAACAAACATTTGAATCATGAAGTGCAAAACTGTTGTGGAAAATAAATTTTCAGATGATTTATTTTTTTAATTTTATAAAGAAAAATTACTTTTGGCAAAGTGTCAGTTTGAATTTCGTTGCAGGTTTGACGATTTTCCGCGGCATCCACGCCGTTGACCGTGACAAGCCGAACACGCCCAACTCAGACGTGCAGTACTCGTTGGTGTCCGGCGGCGACGAGCACGGCCACTTTGTCCTCGAGAGCAGTCACAGGGCGGCCCTGGTCCTCAGGTCGCCGCTCGACTTCGACGCCGGCGACACCCACTTTAACCTCACCATCGTCGCCTCGGTCAGTAACAAAACTTTTCATTACCTTATTGTTGTCAAATCTATGCAGGGTTTCTGGGCATGAGCATTTTCATCTGCTCAACTAGTTTTGCTCATGAGCATGCTCACTTTTTTGGGTGCTCAACTTTGTCTGCTCATGAGCATGCTCACTTGCATGTAATCAATGCTCATCATGCTCAATATACCCTTGCTCAACGCTGCTCATGAGCAAAATTTGCTCAAACCTTGCTCATGAGCAGCTCATATATGCTCAGGTTCCCTGTAAAATAGGTTCATATTAAGTTCACAGTTCAATATTATAATTCAAATTAGTTGATTAAAGGAGGAAGTCTTGAAATAAGGTGGTAAATTATTTTTGAAATACGAGAATAACGATTGATATTTTAATATTTTTTTTTTAAATAATATCATTTTTAATTAATTTAATTTGAACTCTAAAGTCAAAATGGATTTAAAAAAATGCAAGGTTTGCATAGGATAAGTACGCTTAGTCATGCTCAGTAAGCTCAGGAATGCGCAGAAATATTTAATTTACTGGGAGAATTTTTACCATCTTTCTAATCGGAATTTCCTAAAATATTTTCTTCTCAAAATTGGCCCTAACAAAATTTATGTAATTTCACGAAATAACGTTCATATCACCTTAATTAAGACTGAAAATTAAAATTATATTAGGTCGGTCGGCAAAAAAATTTACATTGATCTTACGAGAAAAGATTAAGAAGTCTTCAATACAGTTTAGATAACATAATCTTAACAGAAAATATAAATTCCAGAATGATTTTTTGTTAAATATTTTAAGTTACAATTGTTTTTTATTTTGAAAAAAATTGGCATAAGTTTCCCAAACAACAAACATGGTTCTCCATCTTGGAAACTAAATAACTCTTCGGAATTGAATTTAACTTCAATAAAATCCACCAAAAAATGATGTTAATTTTACCTTTGGATTTTTCTGCAGTCTCATGTTTAAAAATCAATTTGGCCGCGCGAAAAATTGCAACGGTCGGGGTGTTGGTGGGTGACCTTGGCCTGCGACCCATTTATCCGCTCGCGTTTTTCCCCCGCAATTTATTTGCCGCTCGCTGGCGCGGTCCTGCTATTTTCACCTGCCTGCGCCAGCAGAGTGATGGAAAAGCAGGCAGGCCTCTTTGTATCAAAGCCATAAATTTGAGCAGGCCATCGGATGCGCGCGGCAAATTGATTGGCCGAGTTATCAAGTGGAAAAGCAGCTTCTTGTCTCCCGCTCCAAGGACGACGACGATCGACCCGGAAAATTGCAAATTAATTGGACACGCGGCCCCACACAAAAGCAAATTAAGGTTCATTTCGGACAACAAGGCTAATGTGATTTCGATAGAAAAAAGAGAGGAGAAATATTTTTGTTAATAAATTAAAAATCATGCAATATTAATTTTAAATTTTGACCATTGTAATTACCTTATTTAATAAGATTTTTATGCTTTTACCTCTAAATCCAATATGTTTTTATTTATTCAATAATATATAAGTATTTTATTTTTCTAAATTTAAAATTTAAATCCAAAGAAAACACTCGTCTCGTTATTCCACCATTAAATGTTTTTTTTTTTTTAAATACTTATTTCATTGTTAAGTTGTAAAAGTATTTTTAATCAGAGAAATAAATTAGCTTTTGAAAGAAATATTTCCGTTTATTGCCTTTGACTTGCACGTTTGTCATCGTAAATAATTTCCTCTCGAATTCAACCCTTTCTGTTTGCGGAGATTGCGGCGGCGGAACCGATTCTCTTGCGCGCCAGATTGTGCACGTCCGGACAAATGCACATTATGTGAGATCAGATCTGAGAAAGGGCAACTGGGTCAAATTCGACAGTCCCCGACGGGGGTGCAGGCGCAGCCACCCAGTCTTGACCTTGATCGAAACAACCAAAAGAGGAATAAAAAAGCGTTTCAAATAAAACTGAAAAAAAAGAAATGAAAATTGTTGTAAAAATGAAAAATAACTTATAATTTTAATTAAATGAAAAGTTCAATGAAATGTAAATGAAGAATGAAATGGCGTTGAATAGTGCAAAAAGAACTGCCATTTTTCTCAGCGGTTAATTTGCATGCGGAAGGTGTGGCAGGAAAGCTTAAGGACGTGCAAACTTCTTTTCTTGCATGAAATTTATCCGCGAATGGTTTTTGCTTCCGTTCTCTTGACGCGAACAATGAAATGTTTTTATAAAATATTTATGAATTGCAGGACCGAGGGACGCCGCCCAACAATGCCACCACCGTGGTCAGGGTCACGGTCAGGGACAACGACGACCTCAGCCCGCGCTTCACCAGGGACGTGTACAAGGTCCAAATACCTGAGATGCCTGCCTACCCCGCGGTAAGCAAACACCGCGCCTCATTTGCATATTCCGATATTGAATTCCAATATGACTCTCACAGCAGTGACGCCGCTATATGAAATAATAGCAAAGATGTTTGAAAACAACAGAAATTTGTAATGAAAAAAATTGGAAATTTCAAAATTTCAATTTCTTAACTTGTTGTTTCAAACTTATTTTAAAATATGTTTAGAATCAAAAGCATAAAAACCTGTATTTTTAGCTGTAAGAGTTATTTTGACGACCAGAAGAGCTTATATCAGTAACTCTGTAAATTTGTGCGAGAACTTCATTTGGAATTAATTTTTAAAATTGTCTTTTTATGTAATTTCATTGATGGCAATTAAAAGTATTCCTTAATAAACGGGCTACAGCTTTGGTACTAGAAAATTGGAAGTCAACACGTTAATTTATAGGAAAGTTCGGAAAGTTTAAAATTGAAAGATAAAAAACGTAGTCTTTAATTTATTTAATGTTTTTGAGAAAATCAAGCTGGATTTTAAGCATTTGGAATAAATTTCAGCAAGAAAATTTCATGCTACATGATATTTATTTTAAGTTAAAAAAACCTTTTTATATTTATCAAATTTAAACATCAAATCCGTGTTCCAATTTTTAAAATTTCTAAATACTCAAAATTAAGGAATTTGAAAAAGGAATCAAATTGTTAACATGAAATTTTTTAAGAGAGAAAGTTAACAATTAACTTTGAACCATGATTTCAGGGCGCCGTGGTGCAGCAGGAAGTGTTGTTGTCGCCGCCGATCCACGCCGAAGACCAGGACGAGGCGCTGAACGCGTCTGTTCGTTACGAAATCGTGGCTGGAAACGCGAACGAAATCTTCTGGATCGACCCTGCGAACGGATCCCTGTTTGTTCGGCGCGCCATCGACCGCGAGGCCCTGGCCAGCGAAAGGTACTCGTTGGCCCTGAGGGCGTCGCAAAAGGACAACCCTGCGCGCCAGGGCACGGCGCGCCTCGAGGTCACCGTCCTCGACGTCAACGACAACGCGCCCACCTTCGAGGTTGAAATTTACAACATCTCCATCGTCGAGAACCTGCCCAACGGCTTCAGCGTCCTCCAGGTCGCCGCTAGGGACCCTGACAAGGTAAATCCACTTTTAAATTTATTGAAAATTAAATTATTGATAGAAAATGTCTTGATTGATAAATCCACAGTGGAAAAAATCATTTATTACAAGCAACTTTTTGCTTACATTTTATTTTAAATCTCATAAAAATATATGTTTTGTTTTTGAATAAAATTTACGATTATTCCTATTATTATTTTCACTGTCTGCAAATTTATGAATTTATAAATTTTCAAAGAAGGCAAGTCGTTTCTTAGCAACATTAATTAATTGCTTCAATATTGATTGATCTTTTCATTGTTAAATCGGTTAAAATTTGATAAATTTGTATTAAAATATTTCACAACATAGAAAAATTATAATTATAATTAAAATTTACAGAGATACATTTTCTTCACTCATTTTTGATAGATTAGATTAAATCACATTATGATTTGATTAAAATTAAGAGTTTTATTTAATTAAGAACAAAAATTAATTTTTATCAATTCTCCCTTTCCCCTTTTAATATTTTATTGAATTTTTTATTTTCATTAAATAAAGGGAGAAAACGGCGAGTTCACGTACGAACTGGAGGATCCGCACAACGCATTCGCGATTGACCCTCACACAGGGTGGCTCACGGTGAAAAACCAATCGCAGCTGGACCGGGAAAAGCAGTCCTCCCTCCGAATGCGGGTCCGTGCGAAGGAGAAGAGGCCGAGCGCCGAGCCGGGGTCGCGTTCGGCCGCCGTCTGGGTCACCCTGCTCGACGCCAACGACAACAACCCCATCTTCCAACCCACCAACGTCTACCACTTCCAAGTCTCCTCGGACGCCCCCGTCGGCGAAGTCATTGGACAGGTAAGAATTTTATAAACCTCAAATATTAAAGATTTATCTTATTCAAATTTGAATAAAAAATAAGTTTGAAATGGTCAAAATATTACTAGAGTAAGAAGCAAAAATAATCTATCAATCGAACGGACTTAGTGAGAATTATTTAATGAGAAATCAGAAATCATTTTGAGCTTGGGTTATTTAGTTAATATTTTATTCTTAAATATTCAAGAAACACGTTAAATATATGCTTACTAAATAATACTTTGCATTTAGAATTTAGATATTTTCAAATGTTTTTCATACTATTTTCGGACAAATTTTGAAATAATTTCACAAAAGAAATGAATTACTTTATTATTTGAAGTTTCCATATTTTTGTTAAATCCAAGGTTAAAATAAGATAACCTTCCTAATTAAGCAGAAAAATTAAAAAAAAAATTGTCCCTTTCATAAAACAATTCAGTAATTAGCTAAAAATAAAAATTTTTCCTCTTGTTTGAACAATTAAACTCATTTCAAATTTAAACCAAAAAACATTACAACCTCGAAATAAATTTCTGATCATTTCCTCTCAATTTATCAGGTGAACGCACTTGACCCTGACCTAGGTCGGAACGGTCAGGTGACTTATGACGTGCAGAGGGCGAACGCGAGCGACGAGTTCGGCCGTTTGCTGCCGCTGCCCTTCAGCATCGAGGCGCAGAGCGGCCTCCTCTTGGTGGTGGACACGCCCCTGCTCGAGGACCGGTACACGTTGTTGATCGAGGCCGTCGACCAGCCGGCCAACCCTAGCGAGCGCCGCACCGCCCTGGCCGTGGCCACCGTTGACGTCGCCAGGTCGCGCCAAAGCAGCTCGGGTGGAGGCAGCCCTGGCTTCGTCGGCGCCCCCTACCAGTTCTGGGTCGGCGGCAACGCGGCCGTCGGCACCACCGTCGGCCTCGTCCGCCTCAAGAACGTCGACAAGAAGACCGCCCTCTACGACCTGCTGCACAGCTACAGAACAGGAGGTTTGTCAATTTGCCATTAACTAAAAAATTAAAATTAAAATGTTCAAATTAAGTTTTTTTTTGGCAAAATTTTAAATTTATGGAGGAAATTTTTTTTTATTATTTGCCAACGTGTATTAGAAAAATTATTCATTTTTAAGTTTGTAAATTCTTAAAAAAAAAAGAAATTATTTACATATTTGTAATTTTTTCGCAGTATCTAATTTTGTATTTTATGAATGCAAAGATGCCCTGTGAACAAAATAAACAATTAACTAACAGCGATTCATGCATTAATTTTCTTTTTGCAAATTTCTAGTTCCCTTCGCGATTGAAGAGCGGTCTGGCGTGATCACCGTCGTCCGAGATTTGTCACACTTCACTCGGACCCACTACGATTTCGAAACTGTCGTCACTGACGGCCAATACACGCTGGTGACCAACGTGACCATCCACGTGGTCGACCCCGAGGACCCCGTGGTCCTGGCCACCACCTTCGCCCCTCCCAGGAGCCACCTGCTGGAGACCTTCGAGTTCAAAGTTCGCGAAAACCACGCCGGAGTGCTCGTCGGAAAACTGCCAGTCCCGCAGAGCAAAAGAGACGCGCAGTTCTTGCTGGTCAACAAGGACCTGGCCGACCTGTTCGCCGTCTCATCTGACGGCAGTTTGTACACGAAGAAGGGTCTCGACAGGGAGGAGAGGTCCAGCTACCACCTGACCATCATCTCGGAGAGTCGCGGCGGGGGCAACGCCAAAGGTGGCGACGGCGGAATCTTCCAGGTTAGTTCAGGATTCAAAAGCGTTTTTTACCCTGGAAAATTAATTTCCATGCCTGAATTCTTGTGTAGAGAAAGAGATATATATTTTCAGGGATTTTCTAGTTTTTTCTTTGCCACCACCCTTTCTGAGCAAAAAAGTACATTTGCATGGTGAAGTATTTTTATGTAGTAATTTTTCAATTTTTTTTTTTTTTTTTGCTTTTTTTTATTGTACTGAAACATGATTGCTTTAACAACTTTATCAAGAATACTGAAATGAAAAAATTATTGGTGCCAAAAATTTAAATTTTTAGAACTGTGAAGGCTAATTTTAGTCATTTAATTGGTATTTTTACTTTAGCTCTTCTGGAAAACATTTTAGAGCAAAATGTTTCCCACAAAAGTTGAAGATAATTTAATTTTGCACAATTTTTGTATTTAAAATTATCTTATACATCCAAAGCGGTAAAAGTTATAAATGCCGAATGGTTAGAAAATGTTATACTTATGATAAAAAACAAACGGGCTTGAGGCGCCTTGAGGGATATTAAATGAAATATAACAAAATTCAGTTGAAGCTGTTAGCAGAAAATTTAACCTTTCTGATTTTATAACTTTATCAAATCGATTTTGATGAAAATTGCTTTAAAATGTTTTCCTCAAGATCTAGACAGTGCTGGTATATGCCAGTAGAAATTCTTTGAAAGAGACAGTGAAGCATTTACTTTGAATTTGTTTCAACCTTTATTTTGTTTTACTAGGTGGTGGTGGTTGTTGAAGACGAGAACGACAACCCGCCGAGGTTTTCGCACCGCAAGTACTCGGGGCGCGTGAGCGAGGACGCGGCGCCCAACACCCTGATCAAGCTGGACGCGGCCGTGCACGCGGTGGACGTCGACATGGGCAACAACGCCAAGTTCCAGATCAGGTTGCGCGGCGAGGGCGCCAACAAGTTCCACATCGAGCAGGAGAGCGGCAAAATCTTCTTCTCGGGCAAAGAGCCGCTGGACAGGGAGGCCACGCCCCGCTACAACCTGCGGCTGGTGGCCGTCGACAGGGGCAACGCGTCCTCGGAAGCCGACCTGGTCATCCTGGTGGACGACGTCAACGACAACGCGCCCAACTTTGTGCAGATGATGCTGCTGGACGACGCGGTGGCCGCCGACGGCAACGCCAAGCAACGCCGCGACACCGTCTTGCCCCTCAAGAACATGAGCAGCAAAAACTACCCCGTGGTCAACTTGGAGGAGAACATCGCCATGGGCTCGCCGGTCATCAAGATCGAGGCCAATGATGTTGACGATGGCGACAATGCACTTGTCACCTACAAGATTGTGGGCGAAAATCATCGAGAAAAGCAGGACAGGTCCAACAGTGCCAGGCACAAAAAGGAGCGATCCTTCACCATCAACCCTAACACCGGAGAAATCACGGTGGCTAAAAGGTAAATAGGCTTGCAAAATTTCAAAATATTTGTGATTTTGTCCTTAAATGGATGATTTACAGGAAAGAAATAATAAAAAAATCCAAAATTTTTGGAAAATGGTTCAAATATTTATTTGATTTCAAAAGTTTGACTGTGTTTTAGGCTTTTTATTATGATTTATTAATAAAAATAAGAGATACGAGAGATTTTTCCGGATTTTTCATTACATTTGTGTTAATACGCCATTCTAAAACCGCTATTTTAAATCGAATAAAAGGTTAAATGAGCTGAGTAAATTTTTTTCTCATCTATCTTTAACAGTTTTTTGTGTAAATTATTTTGAATTTTCTATTTTAATTTAATTTTCTATAGACTTTCGCCGGAAACAGAATTCCAACTAGACGTGATGGCGGCCGATTGTTGCGGGCTGAGCTCCAACATGTCCCTGATGGTGAACGTGGTGGACGTGAACGACCACGCGCCGACCTTCAAACGACCCTGGTACCAGTACGACCTGGCCGAGGGCACTTACATGGGGTGGGTGATGGGCTGGCTGCACGCGAGCGACGCCGACTTTGGCAACAACGCCGCCGTCAACTACTACATCGACCCTGAGGAGGGCGACCTGCCCTTCAGCATTTCGCCCGAAGGTGGCGCCCTGACGGCCACGGGCACCATCGACCGCGAAACGGGCGACTCGTACGAGTTCAGGGTGTGGGCCGAGGACGGCGGCAAGCCCAAGCTGAAGACCAGCGTGCAGGTGACCATCAACATCCTGGACGTCAACGACAACGCGCCCGAGTTCTTCAACTTCAACCGGCGCGACGACATCACGGGCACGCCCATCTACCACACGGCCGTGGACGAAAACGGGCCTCCGGGTCAGTTCGTCCTGCAGGTGTTCGCCAACGACTCGGACTACGCCGGCAACGGCAACGGCCTGTTGCTCTACAGCATCGCCGGCCCGCCCAGACGCGAGTTCCACATCGACTCCAAGGACGGCACCATCACGACGCTCACCTCGCTGGACTACGAGAGCGCCAACATCCACAACATCACCGTTGTTGCTTCTGACCTGGGCAGTCCGTCGCTCAGCTCGTCAGCCATCGTGCTGGTCGCGGTCAAGGACCACAAGGAGACCATCGTTGACCTCAACCCCATCTTTCTTGGTGAGTAAATAACAGTTTTAAAAGTGAGTTTGTGTATTTAAAAGAGAAATTAAAACACCAAAGGGCAGCAATATACTCCACAAAAACTAATAATTTTGACCACCAAGGATCATTTTTATAGATAAAAAATTGAGGGTCGCAGAGTAAACTTTTGAGAAAAGTTTAATTGAAGGTTAATTGAAAAGCGTGTTTTTTTTTTGGCATTTCACTCATTTCCGTGAAAATCAAGCTTAATTTTTTGAGCACTTTGATTTAATTTATTTGTGCAAACAAATTTCGTCGTTTTATATTTTGGTTCTTATAATACTCAAAGTAATGAAAAATTTTCATGTTCGTAACCATTACTGCCGACGGAGACCATAAGGATTTGCTAAAACTGCTGCCAAATTAAATAATTTAAGTAAAGATTTTTCAATTTTCCCGGTGGGAGAGAAAATATGTGCCTTAGCAAAACAAATCTAAGATAGCTAATTGTTCAGAGGAGTGAAAAATTGGAAATTAAGGTTTTTTAGATCATATTTCAGTCAAATTGAGTTTCTTTTATAGAATTCTATTCAAAATTGAAGATTTAGAAAACAATTTTATATGAGGTTTCATCAACGTTCAAGTTTAATTTCAGTGTCAGTTTGTTCTTCTCTTAAATCCATTACAAAAATATTCATAAAATGTAAAAATCGGTGAAAAATAGGCAAAAAATGCGTTAATTTTCTTGCCTAAGATGTTGCGTAGTTTCATTCTTCTATGCAATTAAATAAAATAGTGTTTAATGTTTAATTGGGCAAAAATCTTAAGCCGTTCTGGGGTACCCAAGTGTAAAATAAGTTCGGTATGTCTCATAACCTCTCAGCATTGACCTTGTTGCTATCACAAAACATTTAGCAATAATTATATATTTGCTTTCATGAAATGATAATGGTGATGAAATTGCAGAGCGGCACCTCGAGGTGGAAGTGATGGAAAACTCTCACACGCCACTGGTGCTGACCATGCTGAACGTGAGCGCCGCGTACCGGGGCCAGGCGCTGACCTACGCCCTGCTGCCCGGCCCGGACGTGAGTCACTTTTACGTGGACTCGCGCAACGGCACCGTGTACCTGATGTCGGCGCCGGACCGCGAGAAGCAGAGTTACTACGTCATCAAGGTGCGCGCCGAGCGGGCCAAGAAGGCGCGCCACTCGGTGCTCGTCTACCCCATGTTGTCCGACGAACTCGGTGAGTGCTTTTTCCCGACGGTTGGCCGACGCAAAAAGCGGAAAATAAATGTGCAGAGCGAGCGAGCGAGCAACTAGGCCACGGCCTTCAATGCGCCCAAACACACACACACACACACTCAATTTGCACCGCCGAGCAAATGCATTTCGCCCGAAACGCGCTGCAAACCAAAGCTGCACTCGCACCAGGCCCATTCAAAACTGCTCACAATTTCATTTTCCGTCATCCGACTCGATTGCAATTTAACTGAGATTATTTTATTTTGTCTCGTTCGACTTGCGTAAATATTTAAATTTGTTAATTTTTATTTTTGAGGTTGAATAGGGTTTAGAATCGGGGTTGAATGGAGTCTGTGGCGCATTCGAAGCTGTGAATGACCCTCGTTGTTGAGTATAAGATTAATGGCAGGCAGGAATCGCCGCGGGCGCGCCACCGACGCGTCTCTGTTTGCGAAATTAGATCAGGCGCGCTCGTGTTTCTCCGCCAGCTTTTCCGCGAAAGAGCATGTTGATTTTCCCTCTTCATATTTGCGAATATCTGTTTTATATACGTAACGAGGCGCAAACAGGATAAAATATTGCAGCAACTCGATCCCATTGGCATTTCGCTGCGAAATATGAATAAATAAACACTCAATTTCATTCACGGAAGTAAAAAGTACGACGCAGGCCCCTGCAGTGTTCCGATTAGGCAACCCGCTCAACCCACCTGCATGACACGTTGCCTAATATTTCAAATTATCTCGAATTTCTGTACGAAGGTGTTTCCGGAGACGAGGTTCGGCTGGTGGTGCACGTTCGAGACGAAAACGACAACACGCCGCGCTTTGAAGGGGCGCAAGAGGGGCGTCCGATCGTGGCCGCCATTCCCGCCTCGGCCAATTACGGCGACGAGGTTGTTCGCCTTCATGTGAGTTACCAAAATTATTTCAATTTCTCCAAAAAAATTAATAAAAATAAAATGGTATGTCATACGTTGGGCAAAATCTGCTTTTAATAATCATGTTTTTTTCTCTGGTTAAGTTTTCTTAAAAAATACTTGAAACACACAAATCTGAATTTTGCGATACTGTAAAATTAAACTTGGATAAAAACAAGAATTTAGAGCTGGGTAAATTTAACCTCTTTAATCTTTTGTTTTCTACGTCTTGATTAAACTAAACCATTACCATTTAAATAATATGAAATAATTATAATTGTATGCAACTTAAATAAAATTTGAATTAATTAAATTTTTTTAACTTAGCAGTGGACTTTCCACATTACGAAAAAGACAAATCAAACGAATTTACATGGATTTGAAAAAAAAAATAAAAACAATAATCAAGCAAATTATTTAGAGTTTTGTGACTTTTAATTGGTGTATTTAACTTAATTAAATAGATCGTTAAAACCAGTTAAATCAGTGCCAAAGAAATGAAAAGATGCGACTTCATAAAATTTTAGACACTTTTCTTGTCATTATTTTTCTGTTTTGAAACCATTGGTCATGAAAAAAGTTAATTTTTTTTAAAGGCCGTGGACGCAGACGAGGGTTTGAACGGAGAGGTGCGGTACCACATGCTGCAGAAACCGGACGACAGCGAGCCAAAGCGGTTCGACGTGCACCCCATCACGGGCCAGGTGCGCGGCATCACGAGTTTCGCGCGCGACGCCGGCAAAGTTTTCGGCTTCGACGTGCGCGCCCGCGACCGACGCGGCGCCCCCGACGGCCACTCCGTCATCGCCAACGTCATCGTGAGTGCAAAAATGACCACTTTAGCTTAGTGAAGTGGAAAAGGGCAGATGATAATTGTCTTGTTTTTTGCTCGTCGCTTGCAGGTGCACGTGCTGGACGAGAACAAACAGGTGGTGCTCGTGATGAATGCCAAGCCCGTGGAAGTCGAGAGGAACTCGCAAAACATCACCAGGTAATTAACGTTTTAATCTTTCAACAACAACAATAAAATAAAGTTAAACGACGGAGACGTTTTTATCATTATTTCTGGTGAAATTTCATTGTAAAAGAATTTTATCAAATCAATTTTTGCTGTTTTTTTAATAACAATGAATTAAAACTTTCAAATGATTATTATTGTGGATTGATTCATTAACAGTTTTAAATGAAATTAAGAGCAATTTTGAATTTTTTTTATAAATTATTATTATTAATTTTTATTGTCGTTTTGGCCTGTGCTATATTTTGAGCTTGCGGAAGGCAAGCTAATTTTTTATACTTTTTATTTATTTATTTATTTTTATTATATCAACTTCATTAATTATGCAGCTTCTTTAAATCTTTTAATGAAGTTAAGATTTATTCTGGAAGGAGAGCAGAGTGGGTGTGTGTGAATTAATGCGGGGTTTGTTTTCAGGGCGCTGAGCAGGCTGACGGGGCTGGACGTGCGCCTCCGCAAACTGGAGCCGCACTTGGAGCTGGATTCCGAGGAAGAAGCCGATGCGTAAGTGGGACATGCAAGTGAATAGCGCGATTCTCATTAAAAGTATCAAGAGCGCCTTTTTAATTCCCGCGCGCGCAACCCCTCGACACACATACATCTTTTTCCATTTGAAATCATTATAATTATGCGTAATTGCAGCTCCGACCTGTACCTGTACGCGGTCGACCCGCACCTCAACATGGTCGTCGACATGACCCGCCTGGAGAGGTGAGACAAAATTTAATAAGTTAATAAATTTTTATATTTTCTCATATAAAAAGGGTGCTGAGTCTGCACTCGGCCGCTCTGAAGAGGGACCTGGACATCTTCCAGGCCATGGAGGTGCGCGACCTGCCCAACTCGCCCAGGACACCGAGGCCCGCCCTGCTGGCCGTCGAGGCGGGGGCGGTGGCCATGGGCTGCTTTGTCTTCCTCGGCGCCCTGGCCGCGGCAATTTGCTTCGGATGTGTCCGACGAAAAAAGAAAATGTGAGTGTTTGGAATAAAATTGAATTTATTTAATTTTAGGTTGTCGCTATGAAAGAAAATTGAAATTTTTACTAATTTGAATAGTTCTTATTTAAATTAAAATGTAATATATAAAAATTTTAAATGCAAGAAAAAAAAATTACAATTAACAAATTTAAATTTGTGTTAATGGAGCATGTATTCATTTGATGACGATTATAATAAATTGTTTGATGTGAATAAGGTCATAAGTTTCTGACGACTTAGAGAAGGAGGATATGATCTTTCAGAATATATCTAGGAAAATGTATCCATGTTCATAGTTTTGAGGAAAAGACCTTTACAAAATTGACTTTTAAATTTATAATATTTTTTATTTTAAATCTGGGGTAAATATCTGAATTTGGTTGATGATTATGTTAAATTTACACTATTTCAAAGCTGGGCTCATTAGGAATTGATTGCTGACCAAAAGGTCAAGGTCAGCATGAAATTTGCTGGAAAAAACGATTTTAAGAATAAAAAAATCTCATTGGTCCAAATGTTCCCACCACCACCACCACCACACTAAAATCGGCCGCAACATATATAAAGTGTGACACATTATTGTAAAGGTCAGGTCATAGAGAGTTGTTTGGTGACCGAAAACATAGGGTCACCATTCAATTGTTTGAGGAAACTCTGTTAATAAGTTAAATTTTTGTGTTTTCTGTCACGAATCCAGGTGCAAGCAGCAGAAGGCGTGTTTCCCAGGGTCACACATGGGCTTCACGATGAACCTGCGACCGCCGTACCTGGTCGAGCTGGAGGAGGCGACGACCGACTCGTACGTGGACATGCACTCGCAGCACAGCGGCCGCTTTCCGCGAGTCAACCCCGACCTGAAGCTGAGCAGGGCGGCGTCCAGCGTGGCCAGGTTGCAGCGACCGATCGCCTCGATGACGTCCATCAGCAGACACGACTCGGGCGTCGCCCTCCACCACCCCCACAACTGCTCCTGCTCCAGCGGACACGAAACCTCCAGCTCAAAGTAAGTCAAACAAATTTCCTTAAAAAATGTCAAAATTTAATTTATTCAAGTTTCTATCATTGCAACAAATATTCTTTTAATAAAAAATATTAATGCAATATCAGATTAAACTTTAATTTTGCCAGAAAATTTAATTTTTTTAGTATTTGCAACTAACTCATATAAAATTACTACATTTTTTTCAAATTTTAGTTAAATTTTTTTATTATATTTTAAATAAAAGTTTTAATTTATTATAATTAAAAATATCACATATTTGCAAATTTTGTTCCACTTTTAATGTTTCGAGTGCAAAGGTCAAAAGGTCCCTCTTGGCCGTTGCGGTGTGTAATTGGCCGGTGTGCGAGGCAGTTAAAGTGGAGATCCCCTGCGAGCGAGAGAGAGTATTGTGTATGTGACCTGCATTGCACCCGCCGGACACAACACCGTTACGTGGGGATAAAAATAAAATACACATTCTCGGCTAAGCCGGCGGGGTTTGGTTTTAAGCCGGGCTAATTTACGGTCGGGATTAATTTCGGCAAAGTACTTACTTACTTTTGGACTTTCCGCGACTCAAGAAGTGGCACCGCAGGGGAGATACAAAAGTATACACGGCCTTATCAGTTGAGGGGTGAAGACCCTCATTCAAGCAGGGTTGCCCAAGATCTAAAGCGTTTTGTTAACCCCTGCTCCGGCCAAACAAAAGTTGCCAGAAGGAAAGCTACAGATTGAAATTTTATTTAGAAAAACTCTTATTACATTTTGAATTTAATTCCCGTAATATAATCTTGGCTTTTTTTTATCAAATTATCCTGGGTCATAAATCGACGCAGTTATTGAAAACAAAGATGAATTTTGAAACTTTGCAATTCTTTTGCCCAAAAACAATTTTCAAGGAAGCATTCAAATCATCTTGCTATGAAAATTCAAAATCCATATTATTTTATTTTTTAATTATTAACATATCATTTATTGTATATTTAAATTTTTTGTCTCCTTTAATTGAAAATTTTGGATTCGTTTCAGTGGAAGTTACGAAGACTCGCTGAAGGAACTGAACCCGTCGCAGGGTTTCGTCGTCTCTGCGGAGGGCAAGCAGCAGAAAAAGCGGCAGCGGGAGCCGTCGAGCACGCCGCCGCCGCCCCCGGCCGCCCACAACCACCACCTGGGGGTGCAACTGGCGCGACGACACAGCGAGAGGGTGGTCGTGTGTCCGCTCGACCACCACCCCAGAAACATTCACGAGTGCAACTGAGACTGTGCGCGACATTTTGTAAATTTCCTGTACATAAAACTTTGAACTGAATTTTCAAATCCACTAAATACTCATTAGTTGACTGGTGAAAAAAATAGTATTTTTCAAATTCTTTTTATAACATGTGAATCTTGACCGTGGACTTAAAGGAATTTTGTCATCCTGAGTCAAAAAATAAAATAAGAGACCACACTTTTTAAAATTTTTGTTACCGTGCTTGACAATATTTATTACAAAACCCCTCATAATTTGCAGTTTAATTATGATTTTTTTAGTAAAATAATTTAATTAATTTACTTTTGTAAAAATGTCCTTTGAAATTAAAAAATTTTACAAACTTTATAGAGAGTTTTGCATAAATTAAAATATAAAAATTTGTTTTCAAGACTTTTTTGAAAAATGAAAAAACCTTCATCAGGGATTTTCCAACAATTTTGTATAAATTTAAATGTTAAAATATTGCGCTTTTTTTAATATTTCACCAGTCCGTTCATTAAAATATAATTATATTGCAACACCAAATATTTGCTCAAATAAGCCGCCACTGTTTTTTATTTTCTATATTTCAAACTCTCCTGAGATTTCGTTTTGTACATGTGAACTGTAAATAAAGGAATTGCTATTCGAAAAAGAAAGATTGCGTTTGAAAGGGGATATTCACTTCTTCTTTTGTTTACTGGCAGGAATCAATCATTCTCTATCTCGGGAGAGGCGACAAATCCAGATTGGTTTGGTGGAGTGACAGGAGCAGGGCAATAGCCTCTCTCGCGCGGCGAGATTTATGGTGGGAAAGAAGGGAAGAACCACAACAAGCGCCGCATGATCACCTGGAACGCGGCCAAAAACGAGACGGACGGACCGACGGCGTGAATAATATGGACGGCGCAACCCCTGCCAAACAACACACTCGCGCGGCACGTCGTCGATTTTTATTGCGGCTCGTTTTGTTTCAATTACGACCTGCCGAGTGACACCACAAAAGTGTAAAGATTCTACGATTGTATTTATATAGTTCTCTGTCTGCGTTCTCCAGTTTTAAAAGCAAAGAAAATCGCGATTGAAATAAAGAATTAGTTTCTTTATTAATTTTCCAGTTTTGAGTTTCAGTAAAAACTGCAAAAATAATAATTCAAATAATTTCTCAACCAATTTTGCACTACTTAAATTTTTTTAATGAATTATGTCGCAAGGTTTTCCAGGTTGTTAATAACATTGTTTGTATTTCACTTCAAATACTTCCTGGATTTATTGCTTATAAATTCTGATTTTCCATAGCGCATTTCATGAAGTTTTTGCATCAATTAAAATTAGATATTTGTTTATCAAAATTGAATGAAATGTAATTGAATTTTTTAAATTTAAATAATTTTGAGAGTCGGTTTGGCGCGGAAGAGAGAATTGGGGTTGGTTGCAGCAAGGGGAGGGGTGGAGAGCTTGCGGGGTGCAAGAGCTGCTACCCCTTCGGTGCAGTGATGGTTGCGCCGCGTGCGCCTCCAAAATCAATGCGCCTCTCACGCTGGGTCACCAGGCCGCCCTGTTTATTCTGCAGCTTTTCCGCCGCGCTTACTTTCCCGGCTGCAATTACACACCTTTTTCCCACCTACATTTTTATTTCACGCGGAAATCAATCTCTGCGATTTCCTTTCCTACGCCGCCTTGACATTCTTTTCATGTGTTATTAATTAGTGTTATAAATTTTTATAGAAATTGCCAATTTTTCGTTTCCATCGTTTATTTCTAGCCATGTTATTTTTGGAAAAATAAAATAGTTTAGTTTTAATTGGCTCTTTTTATAATTTATTTGCGTCAAAGAAATTAAAAATTCGTAAATATTAGAGAGACTATTCTGCTAATTTTATTTTATATACAATTGGCAAAATAAATTATTCTAAATTAAAACAGAATCTTTCGTGAATTTAGTTAACTTTATGTAGACTGTTTTTACAAAACCTTTTAATTGATTTCAATCAGTGTTTCGTTTTTTGGGAGATTTTTTTGTAATATTTTCATTTACCGAATTCAATTTTTTTTAAACAATAATATTCATTGATCAATTGATTTTTAAATCCAGAATCATCAAAAAAAAGTATTAAATTTGGCACTGAAATAATTCTTCTTACCCTCTTTTGTTTTTATAAATATCTCTTAAATTAATTTTCCTCCATTTGTTATGTATTTTTATAGTAAGCTTTGCAATTAATCAAGACAGTCAATTTGTCTCTCTGCTGCGTCAAGTGGGATTGGCTGTTTTTGCAGTTTGTCATCGATTTGCCGGTGTTCTGCGTTGTTTCTCTGCCACGATTGATGCGAAACAATAATTCCTCTACTTATTGTCGCAACACTACTTCTTCTTCTTTTCCATTGGCCACCGCTCTATTAATTCAAAACTCGGCCAGCGTTTTTAATTTTTTAATTCTCTTCCTTGGGCGACACTAAATAAAAAACTTTGACACATTTCCGTTTTTTTAAAGCTCGGAGGCGATTAAAATTTTTATCGCGTTGCATAAAGAAAGGCAGAAAAATGGGTGTGCAGTAAAGCACGCGAGATGAGAAATGCGCGGCTGCAGCTGTCCCACAATTTTTCGCGTCTCAACTTTTGTTAATTGCTTCGGAAATTTCGGAATGCGTCGCATTCTTGGCACAAAAACCGGGTGTTGTTCATTAACGCGCTCTCGCTCGGGGTTATTGCCTTCCAGATAATTATACGCCAAGCAATTAAGGACTCCTTCAAAATCCAGACCGACAAACCGTTTCAAACTGACTGTGAAATTTACCAAAGTTTATTCAATTCATTTAATTTTCTCCAGCATAAGTGAAATGAATCGATTTATTATGAAAATAAAATAACTTTTTTGTTACTAAAAAGGTTATTTATTTAAAAAGGTGTCGTCTAAAACAACTTATTATTAAAGAAGTGAATTCAAAAAAATTATTTTTATTTATCGTACCTTTTTAAACAATAATTCATTTTACAATTTACTCGCCATCAAAATGTAAAAATATGTTTGCTATTGGAATAATAGAAATAATAGTTCGTCTCCGATGTACAAATCTTATTTTTAGTAAATGATTTCAAAACGTCCATGTATTCAAAAAATAGAAGGTTCTCCATTGGAGAATGAAATTTTTACTACAGTAAAAGATTAAAATTGGGAATCATTAAAAAATTTCTTAATTTTACCTAGAATGAAAACAAGGAACTGTTATTTTCAAATTTTTTAACATTAATTTTCTCAGAAGGAATAACACAGTTTTTTTTTTTAATAAAAATAATAAATATAGCAACGCTATAATGACAAAATTTACTAAATAAGTATTTGTTGAAAGTATCTTTAAATAGTCCATATATCAAAATTCCTTGGTATAGTGAATTTGTCAAAATATTTTGTAATGAAAATCAGAGGAATTTTCTCCAAGTGTTTCAGAAACAAAATTTCAATGTGTTGACACATTAAATTTGCATAGGTTTTTGTTTATTTTTAATTTAATTATTTTCATGAATTCTCGTGTGGTTTTTTCTATTTGATGTGCAGCGAGGTGTAGGAGTCAAAAACCCCATCAATACGAGCGACGCATTTCTTGAACTCATTTCAAACGGCGAAACTTTCACTTAATTGCCTTGCAGATGTAAAAAGTCGCGCTTAATGACCATCGCCGTAAATCAAGCGATTGGAAGCGATTCAAAATGCAGCATATTTTTCTCTTTCTCTCTAAGCTCGGGGGTTAAATAAAAATAAAGTGGATGGGCGCGGCAGTGTTTGAGAAGTTGTGCGTCTCTCTGCTCTTTCCCTCCTATACGCACTGATAGCCCTTTATGGGGTTGATCAACAGGTCGGTTGCCATGGCGACCACGCACTTCCTCCACTTAAGATAGGAGCAACCCCCGAATTTCGCGAGACCATTTAACAACGGCGATAAATTACTCCTTACAAAAGACACAACAAGCGTTTCAATTATTAATTGCTACTTTTCTTTGGTGCACATTTTCTAGTTTCTAAATGTTAACTAATGTTTCATTAGCGTTTGAAATTTGATGGAAATAAAATATGGGAGAGAATTTGCTAAAATAATACTCATCTGTGAAGATTAATTATGGAGAAGTTTTTAATTTACCTAAAAAAAAAATGAAAACAAAATCCAGATTTTTTTTAGGTTCTTCAAAAGTTTGCCTATAAAAAAAAGCTAAGTTTGTAGTTAATAACCAGCATAAAATGCAAAATATAATTAATAACATTTAACTTATTATTATATCACTTACCATTAATACGCTGATGAAGAAATTCTCTATTTTTCGCCCCCAAAAATTTTGATATTTTCCAATTGTTAAATATTATATTTTGAAAGATAAAAAGAATCAGAACTTTCAAGCGTTGAAAAAAAATAAAGATTTAATAGAATTTAATAATAATTTGATCTGTCATAATGAAACTGTATATCTATTTTTTTTTGTTCATTTCTGAACTTTATAGGAAAATTTGTGGGCCAGAAAGTGGATTGATTTTGAGAGAGAAGATGAAAGTTGCGAGTGTATAATATTTTCATATCTTTCCAGATTGGGTCTGTGTATCTCTCCGTATCTGCTGGGTTTGTGTTTAAGTCGGGGGTGCATCGAGTCGCTCACTCGCTCGCCGCGCAGAACAAACAAAAACCGCACACACCAGAATGGTAATGGCTTTCGGATTTGATATGACCTACATTGCACATGACAACATGCACTCGTCTCTCTCTCTCTCTCTTCATGAAACGGAAAGCAAAAGCCGTGTGCACGCTCTATTTGCATATCAACTTGCACCTCGCCGTATCAAAAAACACCGCCAGAGCTGATGAATAAAAAAGTCGCCGAGCCGAGCACGACTGCATCGAACCGCACAAACGGAAAAACTACTCGCAGATTTATGCGCGCTGACAAATGCCTGCGCGTTCTGTGCGACACGTCCAAGTTCGTAAAAACTTCTCCTGAGCACATAATCAATTTTTTCTTTTCTTGAATTAAGAGACGATTCAACGACTCAATTTCCACAATTTCCAAATTAACTTAAAATTATAAGATTCCTCTCTGGTTCTTAAAGTTTTAAACAGGTTTTAAATGAAATTCTTTGTGATTTAACATTCATGAAGACTCTAATTTTGTAATTTGTGAGTTGGGAAGTAACTTTAGACTCAATTTCCATTATCTTGGTAATAAATTTGAGAAAAATGCAGTGTATAATTATATATTCTGCATTATTACCTAGAGCAGGCTTTGAACAAAAAAATTCCAGTAAGCTGCACTTGATTTGTTGTAAAGAAGAAACAAAATTAATAATGTCTGTTTCAATACTTCATTCGTTATCAATTCTCCCACTCGATTTCGCACGCTGCAATTATCTTGCAAATTCCCAACGGATGTTCCGAGAGAGATTAATTCTTGCCTCACATCCGCTAGCCGAGTTATGATTTGTCTCATTCGTTGTCGCGAAACAGTGTCGAAAAGAAGGAAGCAAAATGCAAGGGTCTCGCAGCATCGTCTTGGCTTTCTTCAGCTTCTTCCTTATCAACACCATTGCAAGACGTGAAAATTTAAGTTGTTTTTAATTAATTAGAAATGATAACGTTGAAATTTGAAAGATTTTTATTTTCAAAAATTTACAAGGAATTTTTTCCAAATTTTCAACGACCAGACCAACAGCATATTACAAATTTTGCTTTGAAGTCTAGTTTATTCAATAAATAATCAATATAATAATCCATCATAATGATTTCAAAAAAGGTTTGGCGCTAGAAAATAATCGGAGTTTTTTTCTTCAGATTTGCAAAGGAGCGGAAGTGGAGATTTCGTCTGACTTCATCTCAGAGGTTGGTATTAAACTCAATAGAAAAATTTATTCCTTCCAGACAGCGTCAGAGGACATTAAATTAATTTCGCGGGAAAGTTGCAGGATTTAATTTCAAAATTAAAAAGAAAAGTCTTGTAAAACTTCTGAATTGAACCTCAACTGGGAAAATGCAAAAATATTAATAAAATCTTCTGGTCTAATTTTTTTATAATTATGGAAATATGTAGCTGTAGAAAAAATTCTAATTTACGCCTAATTATTTATTAAAACTAAATAGTCACAAAAATTTGACTTTCAAGGAGAGCTTTTTCAATTAAAACTGTTATAGTTTTGTAACAAGTTAAAATATTTATTCGGTACATTATTTATTTTCAAATATGCAAATGGTTAAAGAATTGATTGAATTATTTTCCTCCAGATTGCTCCACCCAACTGCACCTTAGCGCGTGAGTTTTTTTTTTAAGAAGAGTGAAATTAAAATTGGCGGAAAATTGAATTGAAACAAAAAATTTCAGGTGCGGCCAAGTTGACGCAGTTGGCCAACGGGAAAAAGTACTTCTTTTCTGATTACGACTACAATCACGTGAGACAAAACGATTCGCATTAATCTGCAAAATCTCAATTTCCTGTGGCAGGAAAACTGGAATGTGGCAAACGAAACTTGCGCCAATATGGGCCTCCATCTGGCCACCGTGAGGAACCAAGCCGACCTGAACGCGCTCCGGGCGGGAACGAAACAAAGGCGCACTTTCAATCGTAAAATCAGACGCTTTTTGGAAAATTCATCTGAAAATCTAGGTCTGGTTTTTTTCAGGCAAGAATTGGTGGTTGTCGGCTAAAAACTACGGCGGAGGCCGAGAAAAATACAACATTCGTTGGCACGATGGCTCAGAGTTGGAGCAAAACAGCCCCTTGTGGAGCGCCGGCGCTCGGAAAAAGGACTGCGTCGTTTTCCAAACCGACAGCAACATCCTTATGAGCGGCTACCATTGCAGCAGCTATCATTATTTCATTTGCGAGCTGCCGACCGAATGTTACTGATTCAACTCATTCTCTATTTTAATCAAAAATACCAATAATAATCAACCTTTTTCAAAAATTTGAAAAATTATTAAAATAATAAAAATAGAGATACAAATATTCTACATAACCCAATAAAATTAAGCTTAATGAATTAAACTTTACAGAAATATTGTAAAAGATTAAAAAAAAACTTTTTTCTTACTCTTAAATATGTAACAATTTAATGATAATAATGAAAATATTAAAAATGTTCAATTTTTTTTATTTTATTATAAAATACTAGTTGATTTTGGATTTCTCGCTGCCTTATCTAGTGAAAGTTGAAATATAAATTATTTATCAAAACACGTACACTTGACAGGAAATAAAAATAAGTGAATCATAATTGGTAGCCACCCCACAAAACCCAAATTAATTATTTCTACTCTTCCCAAACTTTAAAAAGTGGCGAAAATTTTAAGTAACACTGTAATTGTCTTCAAATAAAGTAAATAAATGTGGCCTTTAGTACAGACTGGTTTGGTGATAAAAGCAGTGAACGTGTTTCCAACTATTTGGCTTCAAGGTCTAAATCTTATCTGGAAATAAACCCACGATAATCCACAAAGAAAACTTTCCTATTTCTTTCTCAACTTCACTTCACTTCTGAGCATGAAAATGAAAGGAACCCCAAATCATCAATTCTCGTCTGACGGCGGATCGGCAAAAATGAAGGTGAAAGGGTCGATGCTGGGAAACCTGAAGGTCCTCAGCATTCTTTTCTCCTTCGTCGTCCTAACCAAGACAGTGAGAAAAATAACTTTGGATTTTTCTCTGAGTATTAATTGTGTTTCTCATTTTTTGTAATCCATTTTTGGAAAAAACTTTCAGCATGTTCTACAATAAATTACGCAAAAATCGAGGTATAAAAATAATTGATCACCCAGGTTTTACAAAACAGAAAAAAATTGGATTTTTTTTGTTTAGATTTAGCATGACAATTTCTAACTTAAAATCACTTTCCCCAACACATGCAGTTTTTTAATTTTCAATATTAAGTAGTAAAATATTTGGTTTAATTTCGTGAATATTTAATTCAGACGACGGCAGACGGACAGACGCAGAATTTTGTCGAAGCTATTCAGAAGCAAATTGAATCAGTAAAATTATACATCGATGAGCGCCTCAACCAGGTTCCACTCAAATTTAATTAATTAATTGAATGAACTTTACTTGAAATTCCAGACTTTGGCAGAAAATCTTGAGCAGACGCAGAATTTCACAAAGGTAAATCTGAAGCACAATTTTTAAAAATCAAATCAAAAGTGTAAGTCATTATATTTATATAATTTGAATTTATCCCTTTTCTGAAAAACAGACACTAGAAAATTTGGCCAAACAAGTGCAGCGAGACCGTCAGGTTTGAAAAATACTCAATTTATGATAAAAAATTCCAAATTTAACTTTTTTTCCAGTTTGCAGAATACAATTTTTCAGTCAACTGCACTCGTGCGCATGAGAAAAGTAAAATCAAAACATATATAATCATGTAAAAAAGTAATGAAATTTGCAGGGTCAATTTCGTTGGAAAGTCTGATCGGGCTGTCAAACGGCAAGAAGTATTATTTTTCTTGGCCGCTTCATAAGGTACTGTGTTGACGAGATTGCATTTCGTCGCTTTTTTGAGAATTGTGTCTATTTGCAGTTGAAGTGGGTGGATGCGAAGGCCAAGTGCATAGAAATGGGTCTGCATCTGGCCACTGTCCGCAGCCAGGCCGACTTGGACGCGATCTGGGAAGAGGCCAAGAGTCGGCAAGGTGAGAAATTTTTAATGGTCGCAATTTCCGCTTCTAAAAATTTCCGCAGATTACAAATGGTGGTGGGTTTCGGCGAAAAACTTTGGCAGCGAAGATAATTTGGATTTCCGTTGGCATGACGGAACCGAGCTGGTGCAAAACAGCACCATTTTTGAAGAAGTGTCGCTTGGTGGGGAATGCGTCAATTTCAACACCTCCAGCACCAAGAAAAAATTGGAAGCCTGGCCGTGCTATTACTATTATTATTTTGTTTGCGAGCTTCCCACGCAATGCTACTGATCTCTGCTAATTTTTTTCTCAAGCTCCAATTTTACCAGTTCTTCATACAATTATTTTACTTGTAAATTTTTTATTGCATTCAAATACCTTAAGCGTCATCGATTCAAATTTAATAATGTTACCTTGTACCTTACCTAACAGTAAGCTTTCTCATTCTGAAATCGCAATTCAGTAAAATACTGCACCATGGCATTTTACAAATCTGTTCAATTTATTGTCAATTTAACTTAACGTGGAATGAATATGCCTGATCTTGTTTATTAAATACATATTTAAGATTAATATAATTTGATATCGGCGAACATGTCAACAATTTATTCTTTAAATGAATTTGATAATTGCTATACACTAATTATATTTGTAAATTGAGGAATGAATTAAAAATAATTACTAATTTAACAATTTTTACGTATGAATTATTTTTTTCCTTCGCTTGATTAACTCTACTTCAGAATAATTGGAACATAACTTTTTTTAATTAGGTTTAGAGCAAAAGTATTAGTGTACAAACAAATCTAGATTTGGGGTTTACAGTTGCAATATTTTATTATCAGGTTCTCTTTTCATGCTGCCGATTAATTATATGATATTTGCTGACAGTTTCAGGATATCCAATTAATGTTCATTTAATCTATTAAGTGCAGATTATACCAAAGCTAAATCTGAAAAAAAAAACACAAACGGAAAAGTGCAGCTTTCAGAGGAAATTAACGAAAAAATGAACCATTATTCGGATTAAAGGTTTCATTTTTCAAATTTAATCTAAGATTTTCCACTGGCAAATTATGTTTTTAATTATTACAATTTTCAATTTTTCACTCGCGTTTCTTGGAAAAAAATAAAAATGGCTTCAATTGAAACGAAAACTGTATCGTCAAATTAAAATATTTTCAAACACCTGTTGGAACCAAATATTGTTTTCCTTCAATTAACATAATTAAAAACATAAGAAAATGCTAATTTCAAAAAGAAAAGTCATTTTCATTCAACTGTCCCACCATGCAAGAGCAAGCAAAGTGTAATATTTTTATTGTATCAAAGATAAATAAAAAATATGAACGTCTGATTTATTCAAAAAATGCAATATTATTATATTTAGAACCAATATTTCAATTTTACTTCGATATACATATTTACTTTTTCCTATTAACAGCTAGCACAGCTAGGCAATTAAATTATGATTCTGATTGAAAATTTCCCGGATTGAAGCAACACGCAAATCAAAAGTCAGTAACATTCGCTTGGCAGTTCGCAAATAAAATATGTTTTAAGACTGCAGGGTTGCGATGTGGTGTACAATTTGTCGGTGTCGCCGGTGTAGAAATAGACGCAGTCCCAGGGTTCGTCAGCATTGGGGCCGTCTAATGAGTTGACCCAGACAATGTTGTAATTTATTCCTCCACCTCCGTAATCCTTACTTTTAGTCGAAAACCACCAACTCTGATCTGAAATCAGATTGATTTTCACAAGGTAAAAGAATAAATTTGGAAAATCTCATTCAATTTTCAAGGTGTCCTTATTTTCTCACCATCTTTTCTTTTCTTTGCTTCTGCCCATGTCGCGTTCAGGTCGGCTTCGCTCCTGAGGGTGGCCAGGTCAAGGCCCATCCCCTTGCACGTGTCGTTGGCCTCAGTCCAAGAAGCCTGATAAAAATAAGCTATTTTAGAGTAAAATTCCGACGAAGGAAATAACTCACTAAATTTGGATTAGAGAAGAAATATTTCTTTCCGTTTGACAACGTCGTCAAATTTTTAGAATGCAAACCTGCAAATTTTTTAAAACTTGAAATTTATTATTTTGCTTTATACTTAAGTAAAAAAACTCACGTGCAGGCGCGCATTTGGTAAAAATTTGGAATTCACCAAACTGGGAAAAAGAAAATTAAATTTCATTGAGCAAAGTTTTTAAAGAAAAATGAACCTGGCGAATGTGGCGCTCTACGAGATTGGATAAATTTTTCAGGTTTTCTTCAATCGCTTCCACATTTTTATGCATCTCTTTTCCCTTTCATATTGGACAATTATTTACTACATATATTCATTTTCTTCTAAAATAGCTCAACAAATTTCAACTGGTAATTTGTATTCATCTGATTTTTCTTTTAAAATTATTTTAAGCTCAATGTATAATTCAATTAATTGTAAAAAATGTGTATTTTTGGAAGTGAAAATTAATTAAATCAACTGCAAAAGTTGAATTGCGAATTTTAAACTATTTGTTAGAAAAACCTCTCTTCTTCATGTCATTTTAAATGAAATTTAATGTTTTCAGTGTACTTCCATCAAAATTGCATGATGAAATTAGAAATTTTGATCAATTGTTTTCCCGAATCAGAGTAAAAATTTTCTCACCGAATATTTGTGGTGGATGAAGATGAGCGTGTAAAAACTGGCGCACAGCAGGACAAGAGTCATGAAGGCTTTTATAACAATTACTCCGCGTGTGAAAGACCTTTGGCTCGGCAAACCAGGCAATGGCATAAAATTGTTTTGGTCCAAATCTGCGTTTGCTGGGGTTGACAAGGAAGATGACATTTCAACTATAAAATAAAAGTAAAATTCAGAATGCCATATAATAGAAAATGTGAACTTTCTTCGAGCATCTATTGTAAGCAAGTGTCGAAAATCGAGTTTCTCTGATGTGATGATCTAGAGGTCAAGCTGCGCTATCTCGTAAAATTTAATTGTATTTGTCAAAATCAGACACACTCAACGGGAAATCAAATAATTATTATTGACCAAGACCCAAAGGTTCTCGCGCTTTCCATGTTTTAAATGTCTTGCCTTTCGACTCAACTTCCTAAAAAGTGCATTACTGAGGCAAATTTTAGAAGCGCCCAAGCGCAGTAATTTTTTTTATTAAAAAAATTGAATGAAATATTCCTGCAGTTTATAGACTGGTCATGAATGCGAGCGTGTTTTTCTTTCAACTATTTGGCCTTAATTTCCGAATCTAAGTTAATAAATCCACGATATTCCACAAAGAAAACTTTTCTCGTTGCTTACTTAACGTTTTACCATTTTAGAGACCCTAAATCAATATTCTCGTCTTCATCGTTGGTCGGCAAAAATGAAGGTGAAAAGGTCAATGAGAAACCTGAAGGAATTCGCACTAATTGTAAGCAACAAAGAGGTGCGAGTTTTAGTTGCAGCAAAATACAGAAATAAAAACTAACTTCAGAATTGCTTTAATGATATACATTTTTTCTTTTTATTAATTTGCTAAATTTTACTATATTAATTTAACTAGCCCTTACACTTGACATTTACAATTAGCTCAATATTTTATAATTATTTTCTAATAAGGCAGTTAAATTATGAGATTTATTTAAAAAATGTTTCAATTCTCAATCGCGGATTTGCCGAATCGAAGCAAATAATTGCAGGTCAGTAACATTCTGTTGGTAATTCGCAAATAAAATACAAATGGTCACTGCACGACGAGCTGTACAATATTTCCGTGTCGCCAGTGTAGAAATAAACGCAGCCATTGAGTTTTTCGGCGTTGGCCGCCCACAAGGTGCTGTTTTCCTCCAACTCGGATCCGTCGTGCCAACGAACGTCGTATTTTTCGCCACTTCCGTAATTCTTGGCCGACAACCACCAACTCTGGTCTGAAGTCAGATTGATTTTCAGCAGATTCAAATCTTTGCAAAGTCGGATTTAATTTCACTTACGAGTCTTCCTTTTATTTGCCTCCGTCCAAATCGAATTCAGGTCATCATAATCGCAGAGGGTGGCCAGGTGGAGACCCATTCCCTTGCACAAGTCATTGGCCTCAGTCCAAGGAGCCTGCCCAAAATTAAAGATTTCAGAGTGAAATGCAAACAATTATAGGAAAATATAACTCACAGAATTTGGATAAGAGAAGAAATATTTTTTACTGTTTGACAACAGTTTCAAGTTTTCCGAATGCGAACCTAGAAATAAATTTATTAAATTATCAATTCGAGTTTTTCATTTTTATTTATTCTTTTGATGCTCTATTAATTAATTAAAAAATGCTTACGTGTAGGGGCGCATTTGATCGAAATTTGGAATTCCTCAAACTAGTAAAAATATGAAATTAAATCTTTCTCCTTGTTTGGTATATAAAACAACCTGACGAAGGTGGCTTTCGACAGTCTCGATGATTTTGGACACATTTTCCATCTTGTCGTCCACGTATTTTTTTATCTCCTCTACCTTTCACATAAAAAAATTGGTCCTTTATTCGTTTTTCTAAAACCTCATGAATCTCATGATTAATTAATTTTATTAAACTGGATGTAGTATTATATTTCAAAAACAAACTGTAACCCTAATTTTATTAATATATTATTTTTAGATATTATAATTCCACATGGAAAAAATATTTTATATACGTATAATATTTTTTGGAAAAAATTATAAAAAAAAAATCATCATTAGGATAAAAAAATATTAAAAATTATAATAACAAATATTACTAAAAATAGCCAAAACTTTTCATCAAATTCTTGATAATATTTTATTTAAAACTTTGTAATTTTCATATTTAATGAATAATTATAATTTAAACTCTTTTAATAAAACTTCTGAATCAATTAAACTTTTCTTACCGAATATTTTTGGTGAAAGAAGATGAGCGTAAAAAAAGTGGAGCACAGGAGGACAAGAGCCAACAAGGCTATTATAATTACTCTCCTTGCGATTATCCCTCTCGTCCTCAAAGCAGGCAACTTGGCAAACTTGATTTGGGGCAAATCTGCGTGTGGGGTTGAAGACAAAGCTGGGATTTGTACGTCCATAATGAAAAGAATGGAAATTATTGGACACGCTTCTATGGAAAATGCTTATTCAAGCGCCTATTTTGAGCAAGTGTCGAAAATTAAGTTGCTCTGTTTGTTTGACTATCTAAGAACAAAGGTCGCTTTGCGTGATCTCTTTCCCTCGAGACCGAACTTATTCGGATCACTTAACAAAAGTGCGTGAAGAATTTTTCATTTGAATTGTGACTTTATTTCTGATAACTATAGAAAAATTTTTTGGTTCACCGAGAAAAGTTTTAGAATAATAAATTTGATAGAGATCAAAATTATTATTGTGTAAAAATCTAGATTTGAGAGGCAAACCATTTTGATTTGAGGTTGTTAGCGATTATTTTTTTTATCAGATTTTTTTACCATTGCCGCCAGTTTTTATAAATATATTTTCCGACGAACAAAATTTCAGGATTAAAAAAATTATAATCTGGAAAAAACACCAAAGAAAAGTACGCAGCATTCAGAGACTGAAGTGGCCTTCTTTATTTGTGGAAATGTGCTTTCATGTGGAAAACATTTTTGTTAAAGAATGCCTCTCAACCTGGGACTTGTGCAGCTGAATTTTTAACTTTAAACGTCGCTTTTTTTGCACACCATGGTCGAGATGTTGTAATTATAGCGCGGATGTGCCAGGGCCAGGCGCGTGCCCTGCTTTTCTTCGGAATGCAATCTGTGGAGAGGCGAATTTCATTAGCGATTCGTCAAATGCACAATCCTGGCGCGCCGAGTGCAAATGAGAGGGAACAGCCGATCCAAGCTTTTTGTTCACAACAAAGCAAAAGTGAAAAAAGCAAAGCTCAAGGACCTATTCGCCGCGATTCAATCTCGATTGCGTCGCCAGCAAGTGAGCAAGGCCTGCAGAGTGCGATTTTTCAATTCTATTTGTTCATAAATTCACATTCTAGATTCCGCCGTTTTTTTTACCGGTTTTTAAATTTTTTTATGTTTCATAAAATAAATCCTAAAAAGGATAAGATGATAAGAAACCTATGCAAAATTCTGTTGGGCACAAAAATTTGAAATGAAATGAAATTTTATGGAAAATTTGCACGTAACAAAGTTGACATTTTAACAAAAATACTATTGAAATACATAATTAAAACGCAAATTAATGCCACCAAATCTAGTAGAAATCTTTTGACAATTGTGCGGAATTCGGCTCTTTTTTATCCTCGGCGGCAGCTGGTGCCGTTCCCAATAAATTCAACAGCTGGGGGTGCAAAGCAAAAGCTGAGGGGTTGGTTGCACGCATGTCAGATATGTACGGGGTGGGGTGGGGGAGCTGGCGGTCCCGGCGGTGAGCGAGCGTACGCTGGTGTTTTGCTCCAGTCGGTCGCACTCTCGCGACTTTGCAGCAACGAAAATAAGATTCGAGAGAATGGCCGACGGGCTGGGCCTGCAGCAACTGCCCGGCGGCGGCGGCGGCGGCCGAAACGCGACGGGCAACGAGTCGGAGCCGTGGCCGCCGGAGCTTTTCTACCGGCACTCGGCGGCCATGACGGCGCTTTACTGCGTCGCCTACCTGGCCGTGTTCGCCGTCGGCCTCGTCGGCAACTGCTTCGTCGTCGCCGTCGTCGTCCGCTCGCCCCGCATGCGGACCGTCACCAACTACTTCATCGTCAACCTCGCCCTCGCCGACATCCTCGTCATCGTCTTCTGCCTCCCCGCCACCCTCATGTCCAACATCTTTGTCCGTGAGTTCAAATTTTTTTTAATTAATTAATTTTAAATTTCCAATTGCACAATGATTTGGTAAAATTTTCGTCAAAAATTTCAAAAATATTCTCCCAAATTGAATAAATTTTTTCTTTTAATGTCTCTTATTTTCAGCAAACTGTTTATAATAAAATTAAAAAAATAAATCGCCGTTTTGTAGGAAAAGACCCTGAATAAGGTCAAGTTTATTAGAATGCAAAAATTCAGGTTCTGAAAGGTGCTCAAAATAGGAAGCAGCAATTAAAATAAAAGTAAAAATAAGTTAATTGATACAAACATCATCTGCACTTTTTGCAACTCTCATGATAAGATTAACTTTTGAAAATCGAGACAAGATTTCATGTTTTATTCTTAAATTCAAATGAAAAAAAGAAAGATTACTTAAAATTGCAGTAAATCTTCAAACAGGAAAAATAAAATTAGAATGTGGAAATTTTGTTTTGCGAAAAGTTCAGGAGTTAAATTTTACTTTAACTAGATTACCCAATTATCGTTGATTCAAAAAAGGATATCCCCAGAATTTGGCCTCTTTATCAATAATTTTCTTCAAATTTACATACTCTTTGATATTCACCAAAACGTAATTTTCTTTTAATTAAAATTTGTGAAGCTTAAGAAATTCACTGTCCTGGGCGTCCTGGCTCAGATTTTTCTGAGTAGCCTAAATACTATGTTAGTAAGATGAAATTCCAATTTACCAATAAATCGATAAATTTCTCGTGTTTTTTGTTTTTCAAACAGTGTCTTTCGCTTTTTTTTATTTTAATTTGTAGACAAGATTTATTTTTATTCCAAAATAATTGAAGTAAATTTCAGAACTTTGATCAGTGAGGTTGTGAAAATATGCAAAATATTGAATCTTATTTTTGCAGAGGTTTTTTCCTCACAATAATGGAAAAATGATTAAAAAAATGTGCATTAATGAGAGAAATTTTTTAATATTTTTCCATTAATGCAATCTTCAGAAGACGTGCTGTTCTTACTTAGCGGAAAGAGTGTTTCAAATTAAAATACTGAGAATTAGAACAATATACGAGAAAACTAGGGCGGACGCAATTATCAATTGTGATTGTAAAAAACGCACTCGTCTGTCAAGTGCGAGTGGAAAAGCTTTTTCTACTTTGCCATCACTTTTTACAAAAAACTGACTGAGTTGCGCAGCAGATTAAAAACTGCAAGATTAAAGCTGGACTCGATTTCGCAACTCCTTTTTGAAAACTCTTCCTTTCCTCAAACAAAATATCTTCCTGAGAGAAATTAATTCAGCTCCTGCGCAATTTTCTCTGCACTAAGAAAAAATAAAACTTCTAGAATGACATTAATTCCATTAATTATAATAATTTCTTTTGCTAATTAAAAAAAGAATAATTTTCAACGTATATTTTCCTTGAAACTTTTTTATTTTATTGCTAAAATTCAAGTATTCACTAATTTTCATGCTAATTAACTTTTATTGAAGTCTCGAATTTCGAATTCCGAAGAAACAAGAAATCTTTTTTATCGAACTTTTCCTTGATTCAAAATAGCGGCTTTTCGTTTCATCCTCTTCATCTTTTTGCGACAGTTTACGAGTGAATAAAGTGTGGGTTTATCGTTTGCTGGCTGTGTCGAGTTGGCCGCGTCGCGAGGTAAATAGATAATGGGGTGGGCATCACAATCAATAAAGCGCCAAGTGCAAATAATGATATCCGTCCGCGCGCGGCCAACTGCAGCCCGTAAATCACGCTCCTCGAATCTCTCTTGGCTGATCAATAAAATAAAAAGCTGCACTTTTTGTTCCTCGGTCTAGACGCGCACACAATTTCATGCACTCGCCAATGCAGTGCTTATCGCTCCTCGTTAAAAAAGCACATGTGCGGCAGGAGTTTTATGGAAAATCGATTTGCTCGGAAAGTATAAAACGTTCGTTTAATTGTCACATTGCATTAGCAAAGTCAATGAAACCAACGCTAGTGGAAATTAAACAAGCATGAAATTTTACATAACGATCTGCAAATTAAGTTGTTAGTGCATTTTAGCAGATTGACTGTCGCTCCGAATGTTTCAGATATATTCATGTTTTTCCGCAATTGGCACCGACAATAAAATCTATTTTTATTACATTTTCTCAATAAAAAAAATGGGTTTTTATATAAAAAAAAAATATATATATATATATTATATATATATATATATATATATATATATATATATATATATATATATATATATATATATATATATTTCTATCAAATTTGCTCCTAATTTTGTTATATAGAGGATAAATTTTGGCTGTAATTGTTTCAAATGAAAAAAAATAGTGTTTCTTATTGAAAAACTGAAAGAAGCATTTCAGAAAAGTTTGGATTTACCTTTTCATGCTCTTTTTTATATTTAATAATATTTTCAAAAGCAAATATGTGTCAATTTTTCTTCTTCTCAAAATGCTTATTTGCAGTAATTTTAAAGGAAAATTAAAGAATAATAAAAATAATCTTTCCTGAAAAAATCTAAAAAGTTTATTATCTTTACATTAACTTGAAAGCTTCTTTTGCTGCTAATGGAAGAAGACAATTCCTAGTTTGTACCTGTTTGTTTGTTTGTTTCTCTCACGCAACTCGTCCCTCGCTCACACACATTGTCAGAGAGAAAAGAGTTTAGCGGGTGGAGATGCTGAGTGTGCAATAAAAGAGATGATGCTCGTGTCTGTAAAAGTCGTAAAGAGGGCATCGGCCGCACCATTATTTCGGAGACGGACTTATGCAACCGGTCGGACGTCGGCCGGGGTGCATATGCTCAGCCGGGGCCAACAACCTCAAAACGGCCTAACGACTCTCGCCACTGAAAGGGTGAACGACAATACAGGCCCGCGGCTCTTCCAGCCCTGTCAAAACAAACCACCCCGAATGCAACTCGATTTTGGCTCCATTTCCACAGCCATGATGGACGCAAATTTCACCCAGAATTATTTCATTTTCAAAAGGTTCTTTTTTTCCCAATGAAATTTCAAAGAAAGATACCCAAATTTTCAACCAGCTCTTTTTTACTATCAAAATCTCTCCAAAAGGAAATATGTGAAAGATTTTTGGTATAAATTCGGCACAAAAGATCCATTTGAATGGAAATTCCTTTGCAAATAAGAGGAAAAATTTTTATATTGCGAATTCCGAGCTTTTTTGTTGCAATTCGAGTGAGTTGTGTTTGGAAGAAGAATCATTTGAAGGCGGCATCGTGGGTGATGCCGGAAAAGCAGGAATTTTCCGAGTGGGTGCTGCCGAGGCGGAATACATAAAAAGGACGCGGAGCTAGGCGGAATAAATTGCCACCTGCGCCGCCATTAAAACTCAGAGACAGTGTCAAATGCGGATAAATACAATAAGGAAAAATCAAGGGCTGTTTTATTATTTATGAATGGAAGCAGGTCAAGTGTCGCCCAAGACATGGCAAAAAGGGACGTGTGCAAATATTTCCTCTCAGACAATGCATTAATCATTTGCAAAGAAAGATTTTCCGCTGCTGATAAAGGGCGTGGAATAACTTGTACAAATTATCATTCCATAATATTACAGATCATGATGGATATTTCTTTTAATTAATTTTTAGCAAAGTTTAAAAAAAAATTGACTGAAAATGTTTGGGAAACTTTAAAAACAAAGAATTTTGTCAATATATTTGTCAAAAAACCGGTGAAACTTTTTGAATTGCTACTCAAAGATCTATAAATAAATCTTAATTGTTAAAATGAAAATAACTGAAATGTTTACCCCTTTAACTTCTATGAAAAGAGGTTCTGATATCAAACCTCCTTTTATATTGAAGAATTTTTGAATTAATCGCGAGTCTCTGTTTGTTCGACTCGGAAGGAAGGAAGGAAGGAAGGAAGCTGGCCTACATTTGACGTGAATAATTATTGCTGTTGTCACACTTTTTAATTATGTAATCGCGCTCTATGTCGGTGTCCGCCCCCGCGATAAGGAGCTCCGCCATTAAAATTTTCTTATGCGCGACGACGGCCTTGAGCGCAAAAATTGAAACTGCAGCGCGGCTCAAATCGGCTTGTTGCCATGCCATGCACTCGGTTTCAATTTCACAGCTCGGTATATCGATTGAAAGACGCCAAGTTCAAACTTTTCAATTCAAACAAATCTGGGTTCTTTTAAAATTTGGAAAATCTATATTTAATTAAAATTTTCTCTGCCGATTTAGCAAATTTTTAATTATGAATTCAATCAATCTTTTAATCCTGGCTTTGTTGCTCTTTGACCTTTTCAATTGAGCCGGAGTGAAAGTGGATGGGAATTTCATGGAACGAAATGGTGATTTTTCTTATCGCGCTGCTGGCAGCTGCACAAAGTCACTTATTTTTCACTGTTTGTGTGAAAAAAAAAGTATAATCCGCGCGCATATAGCGGCGGCGTCGCACCATCTGTGGCCGACTCATTCATTATGCAATTCGCTGCACTTGCCAGCATTTTGCATTCAAATTGAATCCGCCAGAATAATTAAATGAAACGCGCCTTTAATGCATTTTAAAAGCATCTTCCCCTAGTGCAGCGCTCAATATAAATTCCGTCCGCTCCCATGCCTTCAATCGAAGGGAAAGATAAAGTTTTTGATAAATCTAAATTGCTCATTTTTCCACGCCCGTCACAATTTACACAATTTCAAACAAGGAGAGATGCAAATATACCCAATTTTGATTGAATTTGAGACAAAATACTAATCAAATTTTAAAAATTTATTTACTTTATTTATTTTAGTGGATTCTGATTTTTGCAGAGATTTGAATAAATCTTGGAAAATCGAAAGCATAAAAATGCAAATCCAGGCAAAAGGATTTTTGAGGTTTGTATGATAAATTTTGAAGAAATCAGCGAAATCAGATTACAAAGTAGCTTATTAAAGCTCGTTGCATTCATGAGGTAGAAGAAAGTGACAATAATCTCCAATATAAAAAAGGTCAATTGACTTCTATCAATATTTATGAGTGGCTTTTTGCCAAGATTACTTTTGCACTCAACGGATAAGGTCAGTGTAATTTTATTGAAAGAAGTTTACGGGCACATTTTGCCCCCATCACATGTTGCCTTCAATTACAAAGTTGACTAAGAAGTTAAGAAAAAATCAATTGAAGAACAAAAATTTGCAAATTTTAGTTCCAAATTCAGAAGGTTCTTACCTTTCTTATAGTTTCTTATTAAAATCTTGGCTGAAAGTTGTAAAAATATAAATTTAATAAATAAAAAGTACAATCTAAGGCGAGCTCTGCAAATCGATAATGGCCGTGGACGGACGGACAAAAGCACTTGTCGTTTCAGAAGATGCGGACAAAGAAAGTTGAACGCGATTGTGTGCCGTCACCACACATTGCAAATTCTCCATTCGAGTGTAATAGGAAAAGTTTTGTGTTTGAACGAAGCCCTGCACGGTCAACGGCAAACAATTAAATACGACTCAAATCATTCGACCCTCGATTTTTCTTGTTCCTGGTGCGTGCGGCCTAGTTTCCTACTCGCTTGATTTACTTCTTCTTATGTTCAGAGATTAATTTGGCTCCGCCCCCGCGCTCGATTCAAATCGCGAATTCGTTCTTAAAAATTTGCATGACAGAGTGCGGTGAGTGAGCGAGTCCGTCAGTCCGGCCACCCCCGCGCGAGCACACATAGGCCGGCCTATTAACTGCAGCTCTCAACCCCACCGGTCGCTGACCTCACCTTTCGCCAAGTGGGTCACCCCAAACCATCATTGATTCCCCGTGATTGCAGCAGATGAAGAATTCACTGAATCAAATTTGTAATAAATTAACGTCAAAAGAAGATTTATTTTTATAATTTGGAAATAACACTAAAAAATGCGAAAAAATGTACAAATGAATATTATTGTTATTAAATTAACAGATGATCTTTAATTTTAACACTAAAATTGCAGCATTCGGCGTTAATTTATTAAATAAACTGGTAAAATTTTTAATATTAAGCGTTTTAAAAAAGTAATTTATAATCAAAATTGAATAATATTGATTTAATATTTAGTTATCAGAAATTTATTTAATTGTCGTGCAAAACATGTGCTTCTTTTAGATGATAATTTCAATGCAAATTATTAAAGTCAAATATTCAGGGTTTCAAAATTATTACAACATTAAAATTGTATTCAAATTAATTTCAAATTCAGCAATAATATTTAAATTTGAACGCATTAGAATGGAATATTAACTGAAGTGCATTCATACTCTCATGTTTCCTTGTCAGATCTTTATTTTTCTCTTCTCTTAGAGTGGAATTCCTAAGGGTTGTCTGCTGCTCTCTCTACGATAACACGCATTCCGCTCGCGAGACTGCAAATCCTCAAGTGCATTCCGACACCCCTAGCTATCTTCCTTGTAGCGGAAACGAAGAGAGACCTTCCTTTTCCTTTCTCTCGAAATTAAACAAATCGTGGACGGTTTTGCGGCAGAGAACCCTCGGGGGTGCAAACAGGGTGGCACTGCCGTTCGAATTGACCGAGGCTGCAGTTTCGGAATATTTGAGCACGGAAAGTGGGTCACTGCGAGCGAGCGAGCGAGCAAGCGGGCGGGCTGGAGATACACTCGCTTCCGCTCTTTAATCCACCTGAAGTCGTCGGTCGGTGGGCCGTGCGCGCCCGTTTTCCGCATGCCTAACTGCACCCTCGTTATGATGAAAAATCCATAGAGAAGGGCTCGATTCCGCGCCCTTTCCAACGGCAATGCGAAACGCCAAATTATTCAACCACTGCATCAATTTTGAGACACGAAATTTTTAAAGAGCCTCTGCGGTTTTTGTCATTCTGAAAATGAAGCAAATTTTATCTAAAACAATTTAATTTAGTTGAAAATTGTTCTGGATATTAAAATTTATTTAAAAGTTCAATTTTATTTTGGTGGGAAAAGTCAGATTAATGATAAAATTTACCCAGTTTCACATTTAAGGATACAAAAATGTAATATTCTTCATCGTTCTTTGAGCAAATGTTTGTTAGTGAAACATCAATTATAAGAACTTTTTGTTGCTTTGCGCGACACAACTATATTGTTGGAACGTAGTTTTCAATATCGGAGATGAAAGTTTTGCACCCCTTTGGCCTATTGTGAAAGTTTGAAAAGTAAACAAGGAAATGCTTTTCCAAACTGATTGCGCGCACAGTTGCTTCCTTTTCTCACTCGGTATGAAAACTTTATTCAAAACAAGTTTCCTTATTCTTTCGGGAGAAAGAGAGCTGGAATGTGGGTCAGATGTAAAAAATTCATCGCCTGACCTAGGCCGGTTCTTTCTCACGCGTAGATGCACTTTGTCATCGCCGCCGCCGCCGCGAGAGTTGGCCCAATTTGCTCCTAATTGGCCCTCGCTCGACCCCCATTTTTTCTTGTCTAATTGACTGATGCGTAAACTGTGGTGGGGTCAACGGAAAGCAAAAACGACGACATTTCGGACAAAGGGTTTTTCGCAGCAGCGCAGTTGTGGGTCGCTATTGTTTGGCCAGCTGCTGCGTTTCCGACGACGACACGTGAGAATTCCAACACACACACACCCGAGGTCCAATTGGGTCATTCGCGGTGACCTGCATCTGTCCGAGGGCTCTTTTTTTATTGCCAGGTGAAAAGTTGAAATTCCGAGGTAGGCAACGTGCTCGACTGGCCGACCGCGCCGGTTGCATACATCTGCCTCGTTGGAATTCCAATTTTATTGATTGCTTCGGAATTCACTTGCTATTGACGTGGCGATAATTCCGTAAAGGCACCTACGCGATTAAAAGTTTTTGTCTCGCCATTTAACTGCGTCGTTCTTTCTCCCAGAACGGCCTCTTGCTTTTGATGGAAAATCGTAAAATACCAAAAGTTAAAAAGTGCTTTGTTTGTTTCAGCTTGGGTGCTCGGCTGGTGGATGTGCAAGACCGTTCCGTACATCCAGGGCGTGTCGGTGGCCGCCTCCGTCTACAGCCTCATCGCCGTTTCGCTAGATAGGTATGTTCGTTATAACACTTTGGTAATAAAATAACTGCGGTCCGATTCGCAAACTTGCCAACAAGTATGCGCGCTTGTGCAAACTTGCACTTTTGCTCCGAGAAAACGTGCAACGCGAGCAGGAATGCGCGGCTCCGGAATGCACACTTCATCTTTGAGCGCCTTATTTAAATTCCTGCCCGCATCACTTGCAAACTCCACTCTTGTTTGATTCAAAAGCAAAGAAAATCAATGGAATATTTCAAGCTTTTGAAACGGAATCTTACCACTAAATTGTTTTCTTAAATATAATATAAATTTAAACCAAACTGCTGGAAATGAGTGCCAATTTTTTTATCAACTTTGGTCAAAATATTTTTAATTTTTGCCAATTCCAGAGTAAAAATGCAACGTCGTGTTTTTCAGTCTCAACTTGAACGTCTTCTTATTACTTTTGCCTTCTCCACGAGAAGTAAAAGTCGTGCCCTTTGACACGAGTAATTAGCCACTATGTTAAATGGGGGTAATTAGAGTCGATTCACAAGTAGCGCGCAATCACCGCGCGAACAATGCGCAAGAAACCAGCGCAATCAGAGAAATTCAAATAACAGCAGGTTGATTTGAAAGTCGCGGAAATAACACAGATGCTGCTGCAGTTATGCCCGGGCGGCAGCTGCAACCCCGCCATTTAATCACGGACGTGGAAAATAATTGTGCGCAAGCAAGTTTAGCGGCGGCTCGAACCGCCAAGTAATTGCAACGAGAGTGCACTTCGGTTGCTGCTCTGCGCGCCCCATAGAAACGCACCGTGCTAATTAAGCAGGCACATCTGAATCCACTGCAAAACAACAACGCACAATTTTTTCCCTTCCGACCTTGGCACGTTTCTCGAAAGTCGTGTGCCGTTAATTGCTGCAATTATGGCCACAGCGGTCGAGAAAAACTCAAGAGTTGCACTCAAAATCGGCTCGAGTCCCTCAGCGATACACCCTAGGCTGTTGCAAAAAGGGAATTTTTTGGAAAAAAAGAACATTGATAGGTGAAAAAATCCCCAAACGCCTCCCATCTCAAATCAAAAATGAATCCCTTGTATATAAGAAAAAAAGACATTTCTGAAAATATTTTTGTCATTTGTCCAAAAATTATTAATCAGAAATTATATAACAGAACAACATTGATTCATTTGTCACAAAAAGATTTAGCAGAAAATTCATCTATCAGAAAACGCTATACTAAGTGAATTTTTTGAACCTAAATATAAGTAAGCAAACAAAAGAAAGTTAAATTAAATTTGTCCTTAAAAATATGTAGTTAAAATAATTACTATGAACTGTGAGTAATTAATATTTCTTATTACTGAAGCGAGAAAACATTCTACGAAGGACATATTACATTTTTATTTTCCTTATATAGCTTTTATATTTAACTTTAGTAAAAAAATCTGACTATTGATTTTCTTATTTTTTAATTTCTGACAAATGGAAAACGCGACGAATTTCTGATAAAAAATTTCTGTTTTTGGATACAAATAAATTTCTGATAAATAACGGCGACTCTATTAAATCTTAGAGTTTTGATTTATCCTGAAATTTTCATGTGCGTTGCAGGTTTCTGGCCATCTGGTACCCGCTCAAGTGCCAGATCACGAAGCGGCGGGCGCGCATCATGATCATGGTGATCTGGCTGGTGGCGCTGACGACCACCATCCCGTGGGCGCTGTTCTTCGACCTGGTCACCGTCTTCAAGGAGCGCCCTGACGTGCAGATCTGCCTGGAGGTGTGGCCGCCCGGGCTGGACGGCGACCTCTACTTCCTGCTGGCCAACCTGCTGCTGTGCTACGTCATGCCCACCATCCTCATCTCCATCTGCTACATCCTCATCTGGATCCGCGTGTCCAGGCGCAGCATCCCCACCGACACCAAGGACGGACAGGTCGAGCGCATGCAGCAGAGGTCAAAGTTCAAGGTTGTGAAGATGCTGGTCGCCGTCGTGGTCCTCTTCGTCCTCTCTTGGCTGCCACTCTACGTCATCTTCGCCAGGATCAAGCTTGGCGGCGACATCTCCGGCTGGGAGGAGGATGTGAGTACAAACATTAAATTTCTTCTTTGAATGTACTTTGCAGGTTGTCTAAGTCGTTCATCAAGTCTTCAATTGGCTGGAGATTTTCACTTGATCACGTCACCTTGTTGTAGTTGTTGTGAAGCCTTATCACTTGAGCATAGAAGGATTGCATAACGATAAAAGAACGTGATAGATTCCAGCCCAATATCAAGAAGCTTTTCTTACAAAATCTTGACGTTATCAAACAAAATATGAGAGAATGACGCATGATTATAGGGTAGATCTTTCTTTTAGTCATATAACTCACATTCAAGTGATTTGAGAACAAGAAATAACCCATAGAAATCCCAGGATTACAGCTTCATCCTCTGTCATTGTTGATGAAAGTTTATTTTATTTAGAACTTTAATCTTTGATCGTTCTGCAGCAAATCTGATGGGAATCCTGCATGTATACTTCCATACCCCTTGCACAATTAATGACACTGTCTTTCAAAATAATATCGCACCAATCCAACCTATACAGCCTTTAAATAGTGGGTTAAATCTTTCTCAATGATACATGATTTCCAAATTTGATGGAACGATTGTGGTTTGGTTGAAGGTGTTGCCGATCGCGACGCCGATTGCACAGTGGCTGGGCGCGTCCAACTCTTGCATCAACCCTGTGCTGTACGCATTCTTCAACAAGAAGTACCGTCGCGGCTTCATGGCGATCGTGCAGAGCCGGTCTTGCTGCGGCAACCTGCGCTACGACTCGACCTTCACGGCCAGCTACAATTCCAACAGCACGCGCAAAACGCTGTGCCAGTCGTCGACGCGGCAGGGCCAGATGCAGGAGTCGCTGCGCAAGGACTTCCGGCACAGCTCGGTGCAGCGCGACCCCTTCTCGTTCAACCAGACCACCCTGCGCAAGGACTTCATCTCGCGAAGCCCGCCCAAGCGCCAGGACTCGGCCACCTCCAGTCTCATCCCGCGCACGCCCCCCGTGCGTCAGGACTCGGCCTCCTCCACCACCTCCTCCGTCGCCTACATCTGCAACCACAGCGGCGTCTAAACGACGCTCTCCGAAAACTGCTGGTCTTCGATAATTGGGCTGGTGCAGCGAAAGTTGCACGAAAGGAGAATATAATGGAGGGGAAATTGTTGTCCCTATAGCGATCTCTCGTCGCGCGCGGTTGACACGGGGCTTCGCTTGTGCCCCGTAACTTAAGCAGCCGTAAAATTGAGACCTTGTTCTTGTAATTGATGGAAAGCGGCCCGGGAAGACCGGTGATGATTGGCGACAGAGCGATCGACTTGATGAGATAATGCACAAGTTGAACGGCTCAAATTTGCTCAGAACATTTATAGAAAAAAATTAAAAGCCTTGAAAATTTTATTTAGGAAAAGCAATTCTATTAAAGAAATAAATATGAAGTTTATTAATTAATTAATTATTATTTTAAAACCTTTTAAATTTCATACAACTACGAATTGTTTAAATATTTAAATCAAATATTAATAAACAATAAACAAATATTATACAATGCGTCTGCTTGAACTGCTTTGACTTTTAAATGAGTGCTTGTTGACTTTCGTTATCATCTTTGACTTATTGTGTCTGAATTGACCCACTTTCTGAGAGCTGCGATTTAAAATATATCAACCTTTTGATATTTTGAGGAAAATTTATTTGCAAATCGAGTTTCTTGATTTATTAACAAGCACCTGCTTAAAAGTTAAGTAGTTCAAAGATACGCAAATAAATTTTTAGAGGAAAATCACGTTAATAGGAAATTATGATGGCGTATCTCATTGTCAGTTGACTTATAACTAGCAATTGAAGTTGAGATTTAAAAAGAAAAAGGATCATTTTAGTGCAAAGGAGAGGAAACGGATTTTTTGCGCAAACTTTTCCACTTTTGATATAAAAAACTACAATTCTTCACGCTTCGTCGCCAATCAAGGCCGTTCTTCCACTTGGGCCTGACCCAGTTTGACATTTGGAAGGTCGGCTTGACCACCGCGTGCTGTGTGCGGAAATTACTCACTCACAGATGGATAATAATTGTTATTACCCGTCAGTTTAATACCGTGGTGTAACCTAATTAACAGGGTAACAAATCGATACTGCAATACTCACCCCGCGAGTCACTCGTACGTCTAATATGATATACATAAATAGCCACTTGTACCGATCGATCTCGGTCCCAAAGTCAAAAGTACACTCAAAAGTAAATATATATATTAAATCGATGTGCGCGTTACTTAATCTAGACCCTCATCTACGCGGAAAAGAACGATTCTCAGAGGGCTCTCTTAATTTACAAGCGACTAAATTATATAATTCGAGATCAAAAAACGACAAATCTCGAATATTTGTAAAACGCGAAAAACTGAGCCCACAATTATGAAAAATGCGGTAATTTATTTCCTTTTAAATTTTGAGAGACGCACGTGTGTGCCAGTGAATGGGAATTTAAAAACCAAAATTGAGTCTAAAGAATCAAGACACGCTCATTGCATTATTTCATACAAATCACCATTGGAAACGAAAATTAGCCTGTCGATTTTTGTCCTCACCGTTGAATTAAGCAAGTCCCTCAATAACGAAATACATTAATCGAGGTGTTCACTGTTGAATTCAATTCAATGTACGATGAGTATTTAGATTTAGACACATTCAAAATCTCGAACTTTGTTTTCGGAAGAGCTTACCACGTTTCGAAAGATCGTTGTATTCTGATACACATATCTCTTAGTTCGGGGGATTTAAAAGTAAAAAAGAAAACTATTTTGGATCAAAATCGAATCGCAACAACGAGAGGGAGTGAAAATGTAAACAAACTTTGATTGACGCATGCGAATTGTGATGCTTGAAAAGAGAATAAATATTTTGCTAAACAAAGGATATCAACGTTTTAACATCAAGCCATTGTTAAACTAATTATACACCCACACACACATATTGTATTGACACGCAATAATGATATTTTTAACCCTGGCGAGGCGAATCAATGAATCGGATATTTACATCTATCACTATTATAATAATAATTGTTATAGATATATACAAATATTTACATATATACAGCAAATAATATATGTGGAAACTCAAATTAAAAATTTTGGCCACAAAAGTGCGCCGTTGATTTTAGTGGACGAGATAAAAAACTTTTAAAATATTAATATTTTCGGTGATGCGGAATAAAAAAAATCTTTAACTGAAAAGCGCTTAAATGAGGAACAATTTGAAAGGGGATGAGAACGTATTTTTTCCCCCGCAAATATTGCGTATTATTTTAAAATTGGACAGAATAATGCTTGAAATTGGAAATGTTGTGAAATTTGTGAAATGAAAAATTGCCACTCGGTGCAATAAACTATAATATTGGAAAGTAATAAAAAGATCATAGCACAAAGTCGCTGTTATTTCCCAAATTTGATGTTTAAAAAAATATAGTTGATAAAAAAAATTAAAAGTTTGATCGTGATGTTGCAGGTAATTAATTGTATCGGTGGTGTGTATAAATTTAGGCGAGCAAATAACACAAAACACACCCCTTTGCGGCCACAAACCAGCATGATTGTGTAGAGAAAAATAAAATTCACCAGAGCTGTGTGCGTTTAAGTTTTAATTTATTTTTTGTTGGAAAAATTGTTACTTATGTTTTGAAAAGTTGAACAATAAAAGCAGCAGTTGATTTGAACCGAATTTTTGTGCATTTGTTATATATGCAGAAAAATACCCAAGTCGCGCGACAAAGAGCCAAGGCCGCGCCCCATGAATAAAAGACAAAGGAGGAAAATCGTCATCCATCAGTGCTGCGCTTGGAAATTACAAGAGCACTCTTTTGCTTGGCCTGCACACGATTGTCATTCCATTGACACGTTTTCCAAAGTAAAAAATAATCGCCATATAAGTTATGGACCAAAAAAATAATTTTAATTACTCTAAAATTAAAAAAAAAAATTAAATAATCTCGAGAAAATACACTGAAAGCAAGTCAGATCAGATATTTTTTTTTTTACACCAAATTGACAATTTCCAATAGCATCCATGCACACGTTGAAGCGCCACTGCGGACAATTTGTGAACAAATGGAGAACAGTTGGTGCTCACCCAGCACACAGAGACACCTGCAGTCGTCTATAAGAATGATTTTTTTGCAATTTTTTTCTTCGCCCAAATTAAAAAAAAAACCATTTTCAAATTAATTATTATTATTATTATTATTATTAATTTTAAGCTTACCAATAATTTCAGAAATTTTAAAAAATATTTCGCGGTTTAGGTTATTTTGTTTTTTCCCTTGAAATTACCGACGGATGTCGCGGCTTCCTAGAGTGTTTTTATTCTTCCCCGACCGCAAAAGGTCACACAGAAATGATGAGAGCAAGGATTACATAATTATTTTATCATCGTAAAATTCAATTATTAATTATTCACTGCAAAAGCAAATTTCCGAAAATCATTTATTGGTGTAAGTAAAAATTACATATTAATTTTGAATGCAAAATTTTTTTTTAAAATTTTAAAATTTGCTTTTGGTTTTTGCCGATTCGTTTCGCCGCGAGAGTCGTCTGAGCTGCAGGGCAAGATAATAAGCGGCGAGTTGGATTTGCGAAGGCGCATTCTTTCGCTGCAGACATGACTCACTAGCCAAGGTCTCGCTCCAGCCAGTTTGTCCGGCCGTTGCAGCAGCAAAAAAAAGAGATACATTGAATGAGCACCTGCACCAAATAAAGCCACGCTCGCTAGTAAAATTTAAATCAATTTAAAAACTCTAAAAAATGTAAAGATAAATAAATAGAAAAATATTGAAATTTTTCCTTTGATTCATTTAATTTTAAAAACATTTTCTATTTTAAATTTTAAAGTAATTTATTGTTGCAAGTTCCAAGAAAGAAAGAGCAATAAATCCTAAATATTGGGTGTGTGTTTAGTTGACCAGCCGCGCTGAACAGTAAATTACGTTTTCCACGCTAGGCTGCGGTTCTTGATTCAAGTCGCTTCTTTTTTTTCTTGCAATAAAACAAGGTAATAATCATTTGGGCGTTTGCAGCCCAGTGCAATTATTGGAGGCGAGAAATGACAATAATTTTTGAGACCACTTATTTTTTGAAGGATAACCAATTTTCAAACAAGATTCGATTTTTTTTTTTTATATTTTATTTAACCAATATTAGAAAATGCATTTTAAAATTTTTCATTTATCTTGCGTGAAATGCTGGAATCAGTTTTGCAAACAAGGAAAACTTTTCATCCTTCCAGAAATCCCTAATGCCGTATTCTTCCATTATGAGAGAGAGAAAAATGCTGACATATTAGTGAAGCCATAAAAAGAATTGCGTGAACTTTTGCAGCCTCATCAGCCCACTGAGAATGACTGTCAAATTATCTCCACCAACGGATCAAATTTCGCCCACCAACTAAAAATAAGCGAAAATATATTTTCAGTTTTCGTGTCGCGTGAAAATCAATCAATTTATGCGTTGGCCCCGATCAAAAGCTCTTATTCGCGTGAGCAATTTTTTATTTTTTTTGTAGCGTTCGTCGTTTCTATGCCTACCGCAGAACGATATTTCTTTTTTGTGTTTCGAAAAAAGATTAAGGAGAAAAGCGCGCGGCGACAACAAAGAGATAACAATTGCTAATTAGGCAATCATGCAAATACAACAAACAGGATGTGCGATCAGAGAATCGTAATAAGCTTCCTGTTTATTAAGTAAACCGAAGATATTTTAATTCCTTATTAAAAGAGAGAGAGAGAGAGAGGAAGAAATGCGTTTCCGCACTCCAAATTCAGCTTAGACAAGAAAATGCTATTTTGTTCTTTAATTAATTTTAGTAAAAATCGATACGGGAACGTGGCTTATTTAGAAAAAAAATGTCTTTTTATTGATAAAATCTTGCACTTTATATCACTTTTTTTTGCATAAAACTTCTAATGAAATATTTTTTTAAATGTTTGTCCTCTGATTTTAAAGATGAAATTTTTGCGCCTTTGATATTTTCAAAAGTTGATTAAAATAATTTCTTTACAAATAATTTTAAATTTGAATACTTCCAATGTAAATAGCAATCAGGTGGTTTTGAATTATTTATATTAGATTTGAACTCTACGATCTTCTGCATTCTTTCTAACAATTTCCAAACAAATGATTGCCTTTATTTAAATTAAATATCAAACCCACTTTTTATTTGCGTGCTTTTTTATTTTAGAACATTGAAAGATTGAAGCTGATCAGCTGCAGAGGATTTGAACTTCAAATTCAAACAGTTTTTTTTATATAATATCAGTAAAAAATCGTTCCAACTTAGTGAAAATGTTCTTGATATCGGCGACTACTTAAATGAATGTTTACTTATAACTTAGATAAACACGCTTCAAATATTTTATTGGCTCTATAATTATTTATATTATTATTTTATCACAAATATTCAGCCAATTTGTGAGTTTATTAGGGAAATTTAGATTGTCTCACATCACGACATACAGAGTTTGTCACGAAAATAGGTCCGGTTGAATTATTCACAAAAAACGAGATAACGCAAATAGTTCATGGCGGCGGTTCTTTCTTTCTCTTTTAGTAGCGCGCATAGGAAACGCCTCCAGTCCAGAAACTTCGCTTAATTATTATTTAAGCGCAGAGGAAAGAGTTGCTAATGGAAACGACTCGCTTGTCACACACACGCGGTTCGGGCAAATATTGCACAAAAGCCAAACCTGCGAGTCATTTTTACTTGCGTTGTTTCCTGATAAGTGAAGGCATGTTGTGAAACGAGGAAAGAAATTATTCCATTCATAATCATGCGACCAATGAACGTAAAATTCAGTGAAATTTATGAAAAATAGATGCAAAGAAAGAAATTTCTTTGATTATAACATGATTTTTAAATAAAGTTTGAAATTAAATGAAAGAAATTATTACGATTACTGATTTGTCTACAAAAGAACCATTTTAAATAAAGTATATTTTCAAAAGCAATAAATTAAAAAAAAGTAAATTTCATCATAATTAACAGCAAATATCATTTTAAATTAAGATCAAAATTAAGATGTAGAGAAAGGCTTCTCCACGTCTTCAAATAGGCATAAATTATAATTAAAATATTCCAGGAAAGTCTTTTTTAAGCAAAATACCGAAATCAGTCAGTTTTAACAAATAATATATATTTATATGAACTTAAATTTATCAGATGATATTGTAAGCGAATTAAAAAAAAGTACATTCATTGCCGATTTTTTTTTTAAATGGATCATATTTACAAATTGTAGCATTTGTTGAGAAAAAATTGAAATAAATGCAATGAATCGTTTTCAAATTAGAGAGGTGAAAAAAAGATAAAAATCAAATGTTATCTCTGAAGTAAATCAAATGTTTTGTGTGGGCGCAAAAGGAGCAGATAACTTTTTCACCGCGTTAATGAACTTGAGCGCCGACGAGCCTCTCTCTGGCGCTCACACATATAATAGTAAAATGCACAAGTCATTATGTTGGTTCTTTTAACTTTTTTATTCGGTTGCGCGGTGGCGGACGGCGATTGGTCCTCGGCCGGCGGCGGCGGCGGCGGCGGCGGCGGCGGCGGCGGCGGAGTGGAATAAAGCGACCGCGTCTCAAACCAAGACCCCCTCGGCCCAGTCAGCCGCACCAGCCGACACGAAACACACCTGCTTCTCAGCCGAGACCTCACCGATTGTAAGAATTTTTTCAATTTCACTTTTAAAAGATTACTTTTTTTAATAATTTTTCATTTCTAAAATTCTGGCAAAATCAGAAACAATTAAATTTATAAATATGTGCGAAATTTTCACTTTTAATTTTCGCAATTGCTCAAACCGGTCAGTCGAATGGCTTGAATTATTAGGAAGTGGGTTTGGTGAGAGTCAATTTGGGCAATCAACCTGACTGTTGCCGCAGGTGGAAGGAAACGGTCGCAACAATTTCGACATCTCAATAATTTAAAATTTATTTCCTGATAAACCAATCAAAATTGCATCAAATTTCTTTCTTTAAATTGTTAATTTTTTCTTTCTTTCAATTTTTGAATAATTGTGCGACTCTTGCGTGCACACGAATTATTCAAATCGAAAGTGCCGCATTAAAAATTAACTCTGGCGTGCTCTATTTTTTTTTTATTTTCCATTTCGTGCCGCTAATTTGGGTTGTTACGCGCCAGTGGAAGCGGAATTTGGAATTCCACCCACAGCGCGCGGTCACGCCACGGTGCACACCCGGATTTTCTGCATGTTTTCACCGCAGTTGGTGCAATTTTGTTGCAGCTTCGAAAGGACGAATTACGAGAAGAAGATGCCGATCGACTTTTACTACATCCCCGGCAGCGCCCCTTGCCGCGCCGTCCTGCTCGCCGCCAAGGCCGTCGGCGTCGAACTCAACCTCAAGCTGACCGACCTGATGGCCGGCGAACACCTCAAGCCAGAGTTCGTCAAGGTCTGCCATAAGCATTTTTACAAAATTTCCATCATTCCAAATTAGAATATATAATTCCAAGCATTTTTATCCTTTTTATGGCCAACAACGAGGCCAGATTTAATCTTACAAAAATATTGATTTTCTGGCTCTATTATTTAATAAAATGTTTGGCGTTTTACCAAAATTTAATTTCATATTTTGTATTTTTCCAGCTGAATCCCCAGCACTGTGTGCCTACCATTGATGACAATGGATTCGCCCTGTGGGAGAGGTGAGCTTTTTTATCTTTAATTTTTCCTCTCCCGTCTCGCGGGTTGATTATAAATCTTCTTCATATATCAAACCTACTTGAATTCTTTCGACCCTTATTCGTCTTTCATTTGACCGCGGCCTGGGAATTGAATCTCCCCTTGCATCAGAAGTGTTCTCGTCTCTTGTCCCTTTAAAGTTGGAAATTAATTTTATCAAAATGAAAAGAAATTTTGTTTTAATTTTAAATAATTAATTTTATTCGCTTGAGAATTTTAAATAGGAATTTCATTGGACCAATGTAAATGTCCACGTCTGGCAGTATTTAATGAAAAGTGTTCATCGCTTTTTATGAAAATATTATTGAAATTTCTTCATTTTTGTGTACGTTAAGATCACCATCAAATAAATAAAATTCAAATTTTCAAGTAATGGCTTAAATAATAGTACATAATGAACTGAAAAAATGTATGTTACAAAAAATGAAATGGGCCAACAGATTTTTTTAAATCAAAATTCAGATGGTCATTGAATTATTAAATTAACGTTAAAATTGTTTGTAAATCTAGCCGAGCCATCATCTGCTACTTGGCGAACCAGTACGGCAAGAGCGACTCACTCTACCCCAAGGACCCTAAGAAGCGCGCGCTCGTCGACTCGAGGCTCTACTTTGACCAGGGCACTCTTTACCAGCGATTCGCTGACTACTATGTAAGTGACACCAAATTTTGCTCAAAATACGAGAAATGATAATTTTCATTCAAAAATATAGCCAAATAGAATGTAATTTAAAAATTTTTCTAAAAACTTTAGAATTTTTCGATTACACAATGTATTTTTTAATTGTTTCATTAAGCAAACTGTATAAAATATTTTAAATTCCCTCCAATTAATTGCAAATACTTTAAAATTAATTAGTAAATGTGTTCAAATAAGATTTTTTATCAGTTTAAAATCTCAATTTCAAACATCAATTAAATGAATGAATTTTGGTTATTATTTTGGATCATTTTTGTGCAGTACCCGGTGATGTTCGGCGGCGCGCCTTACGACGAGGCCAAGCTGAAGAAGCTGCAGGAGGCTTTTGAGTACCTGGACAAGTTCCTCGAGGGCCAGGACTGGGCGGCCGGAAGCGAGATGAGCCTTGCTGACATCTCTCTGGCCGCGTCCGCCTCCACCGCCGAGGCCGTCGGCTTTGACGTGGCCAAGTACGCCAACGTGTCCGGCTGGCTGGCCAAGTGCAAGAGCACCCTGCCCGGCTACGCCGACGCCAACCAGCGAGGCGTTGAAATGTTCAAGGAGATGTTCGACAACCTCACCAAGAAGTAAATCTCACTCAGTATTCACATTTACAAAACTCATATTACTATATATTTTGGCACAATAAATTATTTTAAGGCTTTCCAACATAAACAAAGTGTTTTTCCATTTATTCCGGGATCGACCAATGTTTTAATTTAAAAAAGTCCGACAGGCAACTTAAATTTACTCGTAATCGTTACGGCTAATTAATAAAATCACAAAAATGCAGTACTCTGATTGCAAATCAATGATGGCACCGGCCCACTTTTGGACATTTTTTTTCTTCTTCGTAAAAAGCGTTTTCTTTAATTGAACAAGTTTGACAATATCCCTGCAATTAACTTTACAACCAGCAGACTCACTTGAATATTCTGAATACAACCGTTTCCATTTTTTCCTTTCTTAGTCAACAGGTAACAGCTCGTAAATTCGTTTATTTTTTTTTTTCATAATAAGATCTGCATATTCCAGTTAGGTCGACAAACAGTGAGCCTCGTTTCAGGAACAGCTGTCATAAAGTGCAATCTTAAATTTATAAATCAGTCTTGTTTCACTTTCGTGCAGAGAAGTGTTAGCAAGAAAAGTCGCTTGGCTGTCCCTAGTTTTCCGAATACACTTTATGCCAGCCAGGGCCTGACCTTAACAACTACATATACACCTACCACGCAAGATCTCGAGATTAAAAAAGAATCAACTAAAAGCTAAGCATGGCACAAATCCATCCTTCGACGGCTCCTCCATTAAATACACTGAGCATATTAGTTAGTTACGGAAAATTCTACTTCCAGTGGATCGAAATGGGCGAACTCAGGGCCACGTTGATTTCCTCCACAATCAGCAGCTGCACAAAATGTTTAATTAAAATTCATCCCACAATTATTTATCGGTCCTTTCTTTACCTTATTGGCCAAGTCGCAGGTGAACTCGGCCGCCTTTCCGTTGAGGGTGACCAAGGTCACGTTGGAGGCCACGCCCACGAAGGTGACCTTGCCGAGGACCAGACGCTCCTGGTAGCCCCACCACTGTGGGGTGCTCTGCAGCCATCCCCACCCTGAGGTGAAGTTGGCCAGGCTGAAGTGGCCCTCCTCGAAAGTGTCTGCAAATTCCATAATTATAAATACAAACATTGGTGAATTTTTTATTTAATCCTCACTGAGGGAGTCGCCGTCGTCCCAGTACATGAATCCAGAGGCGGCACCCTCACTGTCCGGAACCACCAGCAACTCAACAGGATTCTTTCGGCTTTTAAAAAATATTATAGTTTTGAGGGTGGATTTTCTTTTTAATTTGTACCTGTCAATGGTGGTGAGGTTGGCCGCCTGCGTGGGGATGATGTGGCCTCCGCGCAGGACAATGGGAATGATGCTGAGGGGCGCTGCAAGTTGGAGCCACTCGCCATTGCCCGAATGCAGCAGCTGCAGGTCATGGAAGTTGTACCAAGTGCCCGTGGGAAGGTAAGCAGAAACAGACGTCTTGCCCTGGATAGATCAATGAAATCAGTTTTGAGGTACAAAGCATACATTTTTTTAAATAAAACTTTGATAAATTAAATTAATATCAAAATTAATTTCCAAAAGTTTCAATTCTCAATTATAACTCAGTTTAGAATTTTTTCTAATTGTTAGTGTTAAATTTCCTAAATATTGTCTTTTTTAAAATCAAATTTGAAAATTTACCTTTACAATTTATTATTTTCTAAATTGAGGATGTCTATCTAAATTACTGCTTGAAAAAATGTTTATAGCTTATGATAAGGTAAATTTAAATAACAGAATCCTTAATAGTTGAGCCTCAATTGGAAATAAAGACTTTCCTTCTTTTTTATAACTACTATCAACTATTATGTGTTTGCTGATATCAAAGTAAATTAGCATTTTAAATAAATTATAAATACTGACTTCATCTAGAATTGGGACGAACATGATGGCCGCGCCCCACAAGAACTGCTCGTCAATGTCATAGGTCTGCGTGTCAAAGGGGAACTCAAAGAAGAGGGGTCTGGCGACTGTTGCGCCTCGGACGTGCGCCTGCCAAAAGAGGCCGTACAGGTAGGGAAGCAGCGAGTAGCGCACCAGCAGCGCCTTCCGCGCCGACTCAGCCACCTCAGGTCCCAGGGCCACTGGGTCTTGTTCCTGAATCAATCAATTCACCCTTAGTTCATTTCCATAACAAAAAGTTTTTGTTTTTACGATTCCGTCATCGGTGTTGTGGTTTCTCGAGAAGGGGTAGAAGGCGCCGAGCTGCACCCAGCGCTGACACAGAGCGGCTGTCGTGTTGCCATTGAAGCCGCAAATGTCAGCGCCCATCAGCGGAACACCAAACATGCTGAAGCTCAGAAGCTCTGTACAAAAAATTCAGAGAATATTTAAAATTTGTTAAAACAAACAAGCAGAAATATTCGTTTCAATTTTTCTTAAATGAATTCTGATAATGAACTTCAACAAATTCCTTCTGAATAAAAAAAAAAATGATTAAAAATTACTTTTGAACTTTCCAAGTAGTATAAAACTCATGAAAATCTTTGAATTATTATTATTATTTTTTTTTTTTTATAAATTATTAGACAAAAATCTTCAAATTTAGTAAAAAATCTCAAGCAAATTTTCCTTTTAAAGAGTTTAAAATTAGTGTCTGATTTATTTGAAAATAAAGGCAATTAAATATTTCTTTTGCAAATTGATGAAAATAGAGATTTTGCTTGAAATGAATTACAAAACACCGTAGAAATTAAAATAAAACATCAATAGATTTATAAAGTAGAGGAAGGAGTTTTTTAAGTGCTTACGGGGAAGAGTCTTGCGCATGTCGTACCAGGTGGAGTAAACATCCCCACTCCAGTGGCCGGCATAGTGACCCTGACCGGCGAAGGTGGACCTTGAGATGACAAAGGGTCGCCTCTCCCTGATCTCAGCCATGGCGCTGCATCCCAAAGTCAGTCAAAAACCAAATAATTTCAGTATTCAAAACTCACAAGCTGGTGAGCATGGATTCGGTGAAGCCAAACAGGTTGTGCACGTCGTAGTGCAGACCTGCGTGCTGCACTGCAGACATGCACACAGTTTTATAGCTCAACTTTCCTCCCTGGACAGCTGGCAGGTATGGTGGATTCTCCCACTGGTTGTCAGGACATCCGTCCTTCTGCCCGTCATAGAAGTTGGAAGGTTCATTCATGTCCTACATTTGGAATTGATGAAATTTTTGAATCATGTAAATATCTATTTTTATTTAACTGAGTAAAGATTTAATATTATTTAATTATAAGAAATATGAAATTTTTTAAATTCTTACAATCCAAGCCCCGTCAAACTTGATTTGGTTGTGCAGGAGTTTGAGTTCGTCTAGCCAGTAGTTGACCGTCTGCGGATTGGTAAAGTCGGGCCAGACGGTTGCATACTTATTCCAAACCTTGCCAACAAAGGGCAGATCTGACTGGTTCTTGATGAAAATGTCCAACTCGATTCCTCTCTCGTACGGGGCGTAGCTTCCTGCTGGTTCTCCAGAGGCGATTCCAGCGTCAATCAGAGGAATGTAGTGACGCCCAGCCTTCAATTGCGAACAATTAAAATTTGGTCCCATTATATTTCACTAGACAAACCTTGTGCAAGTCATTAATGAACTCGGGCAGTTGAGCGAACAGTTCATTGTCCCAGGTGAAGTCGTTGCCCCTCTGCATGTAATCCAAGTCATTCCACTGAGTGTCCTTCAAGACAAAAGTAAAATATAAATGGACTGGTAACTTAAAAACTGCAATGTTTGGATTGAAAAAGAACTTTCGAATAATGTGTTTTAGAAAATTACTTTAAGATTGTCTCAAATCCGGGCCTTTCAACTTTAAAGCTCCATTAATATTTGTCAAAAAATGAAAATTTATCAAAAATAATCTATCAAAAATTCTCAAGCGAAATATAAAATTTAGATTTCTAAAAATTTAAAATGATTTTATATTTTAAATTATTTACAATTGGAATGCCTGCGTCAATGGTTCTTTGCAGGACTTGCTTGGTCTTCTCCAGGGTCTTGTAGCCAAATCTGCACTGGTGGTAGCCGAGGCCCCAGTACGGAGGCATGTATGGCCGGCCGATGACCTCTGTGTACTGAGCCACAACATTCGAAGGTGTCGGACCCATGAAAAAGTAAAAGTCCAAAATTCCTCCGATAGCTCTGAAGGTGATTGCCGGCGCTGGTTGCAGAATGACGTCTGCAAAAGGAAATTTTATAACCTAAAAATAATAATAACAACGGTAATTTGTACCCATGGCATTGCTGTTGAGGAGGAAAACTCCGTGGCTCTTGCCAGACTTCTCCAAAACCATGTAGAATGGGTGGCTCCCGTACAAATTGGTCTGAAAAAATGAAAAATGATTTGAAAATGCAAGAAATTTGATTAATAAATTACTCTCTCTTGCGGGACAGAGTCATGTGTGAAAAGGGTGAAGCGCTCCCAGTGAGTGGACAGTCTGAGGGTGGAGCGGTGCTCGCCCAGGCCGTAGATAAAGTCTGAGGGCAGCAAGGACGAGATTTGCAGAAACTGGTTGGCGAAAGTGAAACCCTCGGTGGAGGCAGTGTCAAAACTGAACACAAAAATCAAGAGTAAATATTGTAGCACACAATCAGTGACAATATGTTTACATTGTGCAGTTTGTTTTCTTTCGGATGACCTTGAAGCCCGAGTGCGAGGGGTCAATGACCACTTCGTAATCTCTCTTGGGGAATTTGCCCTTGACCTTTGGCACTTCTGGGTACGGAGGCTCAAACCGGTTGTGGTGAGGATCGTAAATCTGTCGACAAAAGATAAATTTGTTTTTCTTGTTCATATTGCTTGTGTTCAATTTTAAAGCCTAAATATGAATCAGAAATTTTAATTTTGAAAATTATTTTCAATAAAAAGAATGCAAAGTGTTTTCTCAAAATTTGAGCCTAAAACAAAAAGATTATACTCAAGCTTAGTTAAATTGGTTTGATTTTTCTTTTTAATTTTAATTCTAACCTTGATGCGCAGCCTCTCCTTGGTCTCCATTTTGATGTCCATCCTGAGGATAGGGATGTCCTCAGGGTATGGAGAGAAAAATTCCCTCTTCATGTAGGCCGTCAGCCCCCACTGGGCCTCGGTCACGTTGACGTACTTGTAGCCGCCGAAGTTGCGAGGGAAGAAGCAGTACGGCACCTCCAGGCTCTTCTGCAAAACCAAATTGTTCAGCCAAAATAAATTTAATGAAAATAAAAATAACAAAATTACGTGGTGGTTTTCACCGCGGGGGCTGGCGAGCCTTCTGGGGACCCAGCAGCAGCCCCTGGCCTCGCACTTGTCCTTGGTGGCGCCGCTCTCAGGGTAGCAGTCGAACATGAGCTCCGGGGGTGTGTTTGCGCAGAGAGTGGCCCTGGGCGGGGCCCCGAGGGCCACCGGGACCTCCTTCTCGACGGGCAGGGCGAGGGGCTCCTCGATGTCGTCGTAGTTGGAGGGCGGCGCGAGCTTCTTGCGCAGGTACTTCTGGTTCTGCAGACGCAGGTCACCGAAGAACTTGCAGTCGGCGTAGTAGTGGTCGCCGTTGGCCGCCGTGTTGAGGGTGCGGCCGGCGGCCAGCATGTGGTGCGCGATGATGGCCGTGGGCAGGGCCAGGCAGCACAACACGAACAGCGAGCCCACCACGATGAGGCAGCGCTTCGAGTTGCCCGTCAGCACCTCGTCGTCGCCGTCCTCGGAGAAGAAGTCGTGCGAAAGGTCGTCGACCCTGTTGAGGTCGGACGCGGCCGCGATCGGCTCCGACTGGCTCGGCAGCTCTACCTGGTCACTCTGCTTGACCTGGCCGCCGCCCCGCAGGTCCTTGATCTGCCGCAGAAGGTTCTTCACGCTGTCCCGCATTTTGCCGCCGCGGGTCGAGTGCTGCTGCTGCTGCTGCTGATCCTCACCCAGCAAACATTGAACCGCCTCCACTGACTTTTTCGCCAGACCCTCCGACTTACCCAGTTTCTTCGCTCAATTGCGTAAAAGTGCACGATTATTACTAACCAATCTTCTGCTTCTTCTTTTTCTTTTAGCGTTTTTCTTTCTTTTGCTCTGCTGCTGTGCAGTGTGCTTTGTAATCGATAACGGCCGGGCGACTCGCGCGAGCCACAGCTGACTGCCAATGTTGCCAACATGACACTAACACTGTTTGCTTTTTTTAAAGGTTTTAAAGGTTTAAAAAACCTTAAATCTTATGAAAATGATATTCTTTTTAATAAAACTGTAAATATATCTACTGTTAATTGCAGAAGACTTCAAAAGACGCCTAAACAAAGGATTAATTTCCATTGGTAGTTGGCCACACTGCTCAGTGGCCAGGCAGCTTGTTTACATTTTGCAACTCGCCAGCTTTGGAGCTCTCGAGTGAAGGGAAAGTAATTTGTTTGCCCATTGAGGTTTTCAGCTATGAATCAGTGAGTAGAGGCCGAGGCACGTAACTTTGTACGTGATTCTTGTCACAACCGGTTTCTATATGACATTTAAACGAAACATCACGAAACATAAATGCACATTATTATAATATTGTTCCCTAATTATCTACATCGCATTGTCATAAAAATAAATTGATTTCTTCAATTAACCTCGAACCTAGTGCATTTATTTCGCAAGGTTCTATTAATGATAGATAGAGAGAGAGGCACACAACCTGTTTTAAACAGTCGTCGGCCTCTTTGAACAAACACGACAACACGTTTGTATGTGTATGTAAAGCGTACGTGATTGATGCACCAGAGGTTTACGTGCTCTCTTTGACGTATGCAAAAAAAAACTCCTCCTTTAAATGGATGTGTGTTTCGTCTGTGGTAAATTCCCTTTCCAGTCCAGACAGCATATATCCTGCTCCGTATAAAAGCGTTCAGGGTTTCTTTAGCTTGTTTAGTTAAAGGGAACATTTTACAGAACTATGATTGCGCTTCGGACGACTCGAAGGGCGGCGCTCCTGAGCAGAGTGGCCGCCAGAAGCTTTGTCCGGACCACCGTTGTTTGCAAAGAAGCTGAGATCACCAAAACCGCCCCACCCGCTGAACCAACCAAAAACGCGATGGACTCGATCAGAATGGGTGAGTTGAGAGTTCAGAAAATTTTAACAAATGAAATTAATGACTAAATTGAATTCAGGTGGCAGGAGTCACGCGCCGAATAGGTTGGAAAAGACCTTCCTGGTTTGGTCGGGCAGGTACAAAAGCGTCGAAGAAATTCCACCCACAGTTCCGTAAGTAACTTTCTCTCAAATAGAGCAATTGTTTAAATGACGGAATCAGGGAAGAGGCGATCGAGAAGGCGAGGAACAAGGCGCGCATCAGAATCGCCAATTATTTAATTCTTGGCACCATCGTCGCTTGCGTTGCGTGCGTCATCAGCGGAAAGCAGGCGGCCGAACGCGGCGAGAGTGTTGTCAAGATGAACCTGGACTGGCACAAAAAGTACAACGACGACGCCGCGGCTGCAGCCAGTGCAGCCCAAAAGTAACCACGCAAGATGGAATCAACTGAAAGGCTGTGCTTGTAAATTATTTCGGAAATGTGTTTGTTTGCAAATTCTAGTGTACAATTTATTCAGAGTACTCAATAAATGATAAACAACATAAATTACGGTACAAAACGGTGGTTCATGGCTTCTTCTTGATTACTAAGTCTTTGAGATTGAGATGAACCTTTTCTTTGTGTTCCGGAGGCACCGAGTTGAAGCAAAACCTCTTGAAGGCTTCCAGTTCGCGCTCGTCGTCGTCGACGGCGTCCAAGTCTATGTCCTTAGGGGTGAACACGCTTTCTGCAAATTCAATTCGTGACAAGGGGAATTTACCGGCACACTGTTTTGGCACCAACCAACTAAATTCCACTCTTCGCCCTTTTTCCCCTTCTTCTTCTTCTTCTTTCCCCCGGCAGTTCCCTGCGGAACTTGCCCGCTAAAAGTTTTTCTTCGCATCAGACCATTTCCTCAAAATGTTACAAACAAACAAACTTACTTTGGAATGACGTTGCCGTTCAGCATTACGCCTGTGGAAACAAAGAGCAGATTAATAAGGACACCGACCCAGCCCACCCCACAAGCGCGTGAGGTCGAGGTCAAGACTTAACTCACCTCCGCCCGCCAGGTGAGGGTGTTTGAGCGTGCCGTTGGTTTGCTGCCACAGGCCATTGTGGTTGTTGGCATAGTTGTGGGCGGGCGCCTCCTCGTCCATCAGCTTGCCGGTGTCCACCACTATCACATTCGGGTTCTGCATGCCCACTAAGAAAAAAGGATGTGCAATCAGTTTGGGTCGAATAATTGAATAAAGTGACATTTTTTAGACACACAGTTAAATTCCTCATTCCAATTTAACAGAAAAAGCCCTATGACTTTTGATTTGTAAAGGTTTGATTGTAAATTCAAACTTTTTTCGAAAAATGCCCAGATCTACTATTTTTAATGACCACACTAATTTCCATTTCAACTACTTCTTTCTTGCATAGGTTTCTGAGAAAATTAAGAATAATGTCCATTTATTTCAACTCGAGGTCTTTGTCTTTTGACTCTAATAATTAAAATTTTCGAGCTAGCTACAAAGTTGTGAATCTGTTTTCAAACTTTTAATCAAACTGTTCGAGAGCAAAAAATATATTTCCCATGTCCAGAAAAATATTTCAAGTGTCCAAATCAAAACTATTTTAAATCCATTGTTGCAGTTTAATTAAAACTCACTGTTCCTCATCGAGCCCATCTGCGCCGCATTCAGATTGTGCTGCTGATATGAGGATGGAGGCAGCGGTTGGGGCATGTTGACGATCATGGTGCCCACCTGTTGGTAGCCGCCCTGTTCCTCCTTCCGCACAGGTGGCGGTGGCGGCTCCACGCGCGCTATTCTCGGGCCTTCCACCTTTTCACAAACAAATGGATTATTTATTTTTCCAATTTCCAGTTAAAAAAAACCTTGGTGATTGTAATTCCCGGGGGCAGTTTGATGTTGTGTAATGAGAACTGGCCGTCGTGCTGGTTTTGCTGCAGGGGGTCCTCTTGGAAGCCCCTGGTTGGCACGATGGGTGCTCGGAAGGGGCCGAGTTTGGGTTGTTGCGCGCAAAAGTCGCTGACGGACATCTCTTGGGCAGGCGCCCTGGCTGTATACGGAGGACCCATGATGGGTGTCACTGTCACGTGGGGCTTCGGCACAGGCTGGTACGGATTCGAACTCACCATGACTGTAAAAACATTTTATCTCAAATGTTAAATTTTACAAATAATCAAAATGGTACATCTCTCTTGCTGCATTTGTTGTTGGCTGAGAACATAAGACTGGGCGAGTGGTTGAGGCGCGGGGGGTGGCACAGGGGCAGGCTCAGCTTGCTTGGCCCCCTTTTTTTTCTTGCTCTTCTTGGTTTCGGGGGCAGGTTTCTGCTCGGCCTGTTTCCCTTTGCCCTTGGCGTCGTCTTTAACTAAATTTGATAAAAAAAATGTTTAAACAAAAAACTTGGAACTGTTATAAGTGCTTTGAATCTTTTTAAATGACAAACTTTTAAAGAGATAATTTGATTTCCATTTGAAATAATTAAAAACCTTGTCCGTTGACGAGAGTGAAGAGGACCTTGTCGTGGTCAGGCGTGTCCCCTTTCAGGGTGATGGTGACCGTGGGCTCGGAGCTGCTGGGCTCCATGACCCTGCGGATGGTGACCATCTGGGGCTCCTTTTTGCCATCGGCCTTAGGTGCAATTTGGATGCTCGATGCTTGTTTAGGAACTTTGATCACAGCTGCGGGTGGTTCGGGTTTAGCCACTTTTTTCTCCACTTGGCCGTCCTGCAGCTGAAAAAAAATCAATTCGTTTAAAGGTTAAATTCTAAGAGAGAAGTTGCAACCTTTTTCATCTTCTGCCTGGCCTTCTTGGCAGCCTTCTTTTCGTCTTTGCTGGCGCTGTCGGTGCCTTCGATGAACTCGAGCAAATCATGCAGAGACCTGTTGTCACCGGGATTCTTCTCCTTCACCTTGGTCTCCTTTTTACTCTGTGGAATCTGAATTTGGGTTACCAAGCCTGCCCTTTATCTTAAAAAACTCACAACTTTGTGCTCTGGGGTGCTCAAACTTTTCTCACTAGACGTCGAAGAATTTTTCTGCTTGGTTTTCTTGCCTGGCTCGGACACTACAGGAGGAGGAGGAGGAGGGGCCTGTTTGCCTTTGCCTTTTGTAGCAGCTTCTTTGCCCTTCCCAGTCTGAACATCAACCTTTTCACCTTTCTTTTCCTTGCCACCCTTGGGCTGCTGTTTGCTCTGCTTCTTATCTGATTCACAAATAATTACAATTATATTAAGATATTTATTTAATAATATTGTCAACTTGGAAAAATGCCGGAAATTCCATAAATAGGAACACCAAGTCAAAATAATCACTTCTTATTTCATTTGAAAGATTTTGGTATAAAAAACGCTTTATTATTTTTTTCCTACCTTGTGTGTTGTTTTTTACATTTGCTTGAGTTTGTTTCGCAGTACTTTTACTTTCCACACTCTTCTGTTCTTTCACTTTCTGCTGGGGTGGGGGGCCTTTGGTGTTCTGCTGGGCCAGTCCTAACTGAGAGAGCTGTTTCAACAGCAGCGAGGAGCAAATGCTGCAGCTGCACTGTTTCTTTGTTCCTTTGTTGTCGCAGAGATCAATTCGGAGCTGAGATACCATTTTGCTGAGGTTGGACACGTTTTTCCTTAACAAAATAATTAACAACTTGGAATGAAAGATAAAAATAAATATTACTCGTGAACAAGGCCTTCCACTCTTTTCCACTTCTCAGAGATGCCCGTCATGTGCTCCTCTAAGGTTAAAAGTCGCTGGAAAACTCCGTAAAATCCACCTTTGTCTTTCTGATTCAAACAACCTTGCAACTTTGGAAAGGAAAATTAGTACGGCTTTGAATGGGGGGAAACGGACGTACTTGACTAACAAACTGAGGGATCTTGAGCTGCACCACGGGGTCCGAGTGGACACACCTCTCAAAGAGCAGCCTATTCAAGTCCTCCCAACCCATCCCGAACATGGCCAAGTGCTGCTCCTCCAAATCCTTCAAGGCCTCAGACAGACAAGTGGCGCCGCTGCTCAGACTAGCGTAATGATCGACCAATTCTAAGCAAAGGTTTCAGTAACAATGTCAAATTTGGTTCAACTCTCACTTGTTAGAAAATTTCGTGCAACTTGAGAGGGCTGGCCTGCCTTTTTCAACAGCTCCAGCAACTTTACTTTGACTTCTATCACATACTCTTGCACTTGAGACTCCAAAAACAGCAGAACCTGCTGCGAATCCTTGGCACATAATCTTGAATTTGAAAATAATTAAGACAGGGATAACATCTTAAAAGAAATTCACCTTTTGATGACTTTCACAATTTTGCTGGCGTTCTTTTTGACGAATTGCTTGCTGTCCTCGTTGGTGGCGTGATATGCGTGATTAAAATACTGCCGAACTTCCATCCAGTCTGCTTCAGAGAAGTTCGATTTTGGATCAGTTGGCCTAACGAGGAAAGATATTTACATAGAATCTGAATTTTATGGAAAAAATCATCTTGGATAAACCTCAGATTATCCTTGCAAAAGCCACTGGCCAGCAGTTTGGCCCAGTATTGTTCCTTAAGCTGGTCCTTTTGTTCCTTGATTTCTGTACTATTTTTCTTCTCACTTTTGTTGCTCTTATTCTGATTTTGAGACGAACTAGTCTGACTGCTCTGTTGAGTGGGTTGCGGAGGCGGCAGCGGCTTTGTTCGAATGAATTTTGCTTCCATCTGAAATTTTGATAATTTTATTTTTGCACAGCAACCAAAGTCAACTGCCGCTTGTACCACATTTTTCTGCTTTTTCTTTTTCCTCTCTGTGGGTTTGCTTGCCATGTTGAGACGATTCTGTTCGTCCGCTTGTCATTCACATGAAACTGAAGTCAGGAGGAGATAACCTGAAAGGCATTAAATTTCTGCGTTAGAACCAATCGATTAAAGGCGTCGTTGATGCAGATTTTTTTTTTTATCAGCAAGTCAAAATCGAAATATTCGTATGAATGCAAGGACAATAACAAAGCGAAATGCCCGGACGGCATTAGTTTGCTCAGCCGGAACAATAGCTTTGAGCGCGCTTTCGCGAGCAGCCCGAGCACCGTTTTCAAAAACGAAATTTCCAGCTTCAACTCGCGGCAATCGGCATTTCAGTGTCACTTCAGCCTACCGAAATATTGTGTAAAAACTTTAGGGAAGAAGTTCCTCGGCGATCATGAGCGAGTGTTCGAAGCAACGATGCCAGGGAGCCCAGGGAGCATGGCACAATGGGAAACCTGTGGTAGTTTTCAAGTTGAAAGTGTGCAGTGACAACATTAGTCTGGCAACAGCGCACGGCATCCAGACGACCAAAGTGATACCAACATAACATTTACAGCCATTTTTATTATTTCCACTTTTAACTCTATTTTTGCAAAAATTACTCAATTTAAATGCAAATTTTTATTTAAATAATTTATTTTGATTTTTTTTGCGTGTTTTGTAATTATTTAATAAGTAAATATGGGTTGGTATAAAACCGTCATGTTGGCAACACACGACTTATTTGCGATCAAGATGCAGTTGATGGTTGTTGCTCTCCATTTCTAGTTCTTTGTTGCAAGAGGATTCGAATTCGAAATCTGAAAACATCGGCCTAGTTTTGAGAGCGTTTCGTTCAACCGTTACAGATTCGGATTGCTCGTTAGTTTGGCTTCAAATTGCAGGCATTCGTTTAGCGGAATCGCAATCGCAGTGCTGTCAATTCCTAGTCGAATCTGTTAGGAGGAATGGCTTGCGCGACTTTGAAGCGATCCCTTGATTTTGATCCCGTCCACAACGGAAGACAGACCAAGAGGCGGAGGTGTTCTCCTCTGCAATGCGTCTCTCCGAAGCCGTCAACCTCGACGGCCGAAGAGCCCGTGAAGACCCCATCCATCTTCGAGCAAGGAACCCCCGCCCTAAGGACTGGTAAGAATCTTTCCCTTTTACGGAGTGTCGCAAGAATTTTTTTTAATCTCGTCTCAATTGGAATTCGCTATTTGAATCTCGTCTCAATTTGAAATCACTATTCGCAGATCGCATAGCTGCCGATCTGAGCAACGAGATCCGCCGCCTGCAGCGGCTCAACAAGCTGCAACTGGACTCGGGCGAAGATTCTTCCAAGGACTCGTCTTCCTCTCAGGACAGCGGCCCTGAGTCGCCCGACAGCTCCTCTCGCGTTTCGAGACTCATCCAGACCCAACCTTGCGACCGCCCCCTGTACACCCTGAAGCAGGTAATTTTCTCCACAATTTTAAATAATTTGAAATTTTAAAAAATTTGGAACTCTTCAGGTGGAAATGATCTGTGAGCGCATCCTGAGAGAGCGTGAAGTTGAACTGCGAGAGGAGTACGAGCGCATCCTGCACGCCAAACTGGCCGATCAGTACGAGCAGTTTGTCAAATTCACCTATGACCAGTTGCACCGCTCGAGGCCCACTGCCGAACCTCCCAGTTGTGAGTCTACAGAAAATTCCCATCAGATTGAAATTAACTTGCTATTTGTTGCAGATCTTTCGTAATTATCGGAGGAGACGCAGAACTACACTTTTTGAGTGCATTTTTGTATATTAGAAAGCTGCTTTGGGCAGTCGAGAAACAAGCCTTAGAAAAAAAAACACACATAATGACATGGACATGGAAAAAAGTCTGTATACACAGGAAGGATTTTGTTTGTGCTTCAAAGTCTGAGATTTACATTCTTGTATTTATTCTCCCCGGTTGATTGGAAAATTTTGGTGATCCTTGTTTATTTCGTCACCGCATTCCGACAACAGACGACTTGGTAGAAGAAGAGAGAAAACCAGCTTTGGTTGCAATACCTGTACATACATAAGAAGATTCTCACGAATTGTGCCAAGTGATCAAATTCTAAATTAAATCTAAAGTGTAAAAGTTACAAGTGGTTTATCATTGGTTTGTTTCTCTTTGTATTCTTGCAGATTCGGCACAAGAATTTATTTGACTGCCTTAATTTCTCACTTCAGAGATGATTGCTTCGAATGAGTGAGTTTGTTCGAACTAGGTTTAATTTTAGAGCGGGGGAGATTTGTGATTTAGTGCCATCCGTTATCACAATATCGTAAAATGATACCGAAAATTTTCTGCGCTAAGACTTTGATTTTGCCTTCCTTGTCACTTTGTTGCCCCCCACGAGAGAGAGAGAAAGAAAGAGATCCCGAGGCCTTTGAAACCTGCCGGGCTATGATAACTTTTCAACAAGATTCCCTGAGTTTGGCACATTGTAGGTTTAGCTAAATGTAAGATGTAACATGCGATAACTTTTGTAATTTTGCTGCTTAAAAAAGATTTGTATGGAAAATGTGTTATCATTTGCAAATAAATAATATGCACTAGCCTTATTTCAAGTAATCTTATTGCACCCTTAAAAAAAACAAGTGTGGGAAAACTCCAATGAGATTAAGTGAGTCTGACAATGAGCAATAATTAAGTGTGTTGATGAACTTGGATTTAGTATGGTCAATCAGAATGCTAAAATTAATCTTTACAAACAGTGCACGTCATTTTGGTTTGAAAATTTGATTTAATTAAAAATTGATTTATTTTTCCAGTTTATTTCAATGTATCATAATGTTATCTGTCAAACGTGGGCGCTGAGCCGGTTGTATACCCTGCTGATTCTTATCTGCCCTGGATTGTTATTAATTTGTGAATAAAACAAGATTATATTTTTGACAAACAGCGCCGCAAGACCAGAAGGAAATTTGGTCCAAGGGAGAGCGCCTAATTTTGATGCTGATTTGGCGCGATTGATTCTCAGGTAACAGTTGAAAGTAAGAAAGAGACCACAGCACATTGTAATCTAAAATCTGTACATCTTAGACTTTTTCAAATCTCAATTTATGTATTATGATTTTTATCTATTCTTTTCTCAATAAAATTTGGCTGTGAATATACGTCACATAAAAAGATTACTATTTTTCTTTTTTTCCCACAATTTCATGCAATTTTTCAAACGTAATTTTCCTTCAGATCAAATTGCTTCATTTAAAAAAAAAATTTATCAAATTATTTTTTTTTTTTTTATGTTGAGGTAATCGTGAATGGAGAGTCATTAGATTATATGGCAGCATGATTGTTTTTTTTTATTTTTCCAAAATAGTTCACACGATTCGATAGTCCAATACATAATTTATTTCATATAATACGCTTTGTATTCTCAAACATCGCATGTGATATTATACATAGACAGAGAATAGGTGTTTTTGCTTGGTTTCACATAAGATTCGTACACCAGAAGACAAATGTAAGATCCACAATGGTTTCTTTTTCTTTGCAATTAAGTCTCACAAACAACAAAAGCCAAAAGCATTTCATTGCGTTTGGAAAACGATTCGCAAAATGGAAAACGCGCGAGAAATCCGAGCGAAAAAAAATGCGTCTCGAAATCTCTCTCTCTCTCTCTTAAGGGTATGTTTCGGATAACAAGGAGCCAATTTCAATATGTGATATTATACAAAAGTCGCAATAAAAATACGCAAATCCCAATATAATTCCCGAGTCAGGTACGTCGTTATATATGCCAACAACCGTTTGCTCCCCATCACAATCAAAAATAAAATCTGCAGACGCACGCCCTGCCTGCGCTAACCAACAACAATATTTTAGGTTTCTCTGCCTTCAAAACTTGAACGCTTTTTTTATATTATACTTTAATTCTCACAAATTTTATTGCGCGTGAAACGCCAACTTATTCTCGTAATTATCCAATATCTTTCTTTAAATATATATGTATATGAAAAGAGAAATGAGCAAATGTGTCTCTCTCAATTTAATATATATAGATAGATCTTTCTCACTTTAGGTTTTCTTCTCAAGTCTAACGTAAGTCGTGCTAGATTCTAAATCTTGTTGCAAAAGTCAAGCAAGTAAAAAGTACAAGAGTGTGTGAGAGAATATCAATCAATCGCGATTTGGCAACTCTGTTTACATAATTTTCGATCGTCTCTTGATTAACATATATATATATATAAATTGTTTCCGGCGAGATGTGGAAGCCTAGCTTCCGTTTTCTTGGCCGTGAAATTAATTACGTTGATTACACATTGTTTGTTATGCTACACCAACATATACACAGATTTGATATTTCTTATTTTTATATATCTATGTAATCATATTGCAATCTACACTTCTTCTTTAACCTATTTTAGGCTCTCTTGATACACAGTACTACAGCTCAACCGAGTATATTTATAATTATACAGGAGTCAGAAAAAGGGGAAAATATTTTAATAATTTCCGCCGCAATCAATTTGCTCGAACCATTTGGCAAAAGAAGAGAAGCAAGTAGAAAAATAGGACTGATGGCCAGAGTGTTCGTTTTTTTTTTAAAGCTACTGATCACTCGGAATGACCACTTTACTTTCACAGAAGAAAGTCGCCGGGCCCCGTTTGCTGCAGGGAAACATTAAAACATGTCTACGGACCGGGCGAATTCAGAATCCACCCCTTCTCAAGTAAAAAATAAACAATTAAGTGAAACAGGGCCCGGCCACTGTCAAAGCTGTTCAGCAGCTGCGGTTGAAATGGGTGCCGCCGCGCTTGGTCAGCAGCGCGTCCAGCAGTCGCAGGCGCGCCTTGGCCTGTTTGTAGACGGCGTACTCGCGCTGCTTGGGCTCCCGATCCTCCTTCTGCAGCCGCCGGCCTGTCGACTTTTGGAACTCGTCCTCAAAGTCGCGCAACTCGCGCCGCAACTTGTGCTTCAACTCTTTGGCCTCCGCCTGCCGCGCAATCAACTCGGTCCTGCGAAACATACAATTTTTTCAATTTAGTCAAAATAACTTCTTTGAATTGTACACAAAATTGACGCATTTACATTTATTCTGGCCTAAAATGCATGAAAATACTTGGAATAAACAAACAACACCCAAAACAACTAGGATTTTGGTAAAATAGTTTTAAAGATTATTTTTTATTTTATTTTAAGTAAAATACAAAATATTTCATCAACGTAGCCAAATTTCTACTTTTTAGAGACTAGTTTTCTTAAATAGGGGTGAATTCCTCAAAATCAATGTCAAACCTGTTAAAAAAAACTTACAGGGAGAGGGAGTGCAGATTCTCGCATGGGTCGTCGTCCTCGTTGTCCTCATCATTCTCGGCCGCGTCCAAGTCGGACGAGGGCAGCATGTTGAGGTTGGTCTCGGGCGGCGAGGTGAAGTCCATGGTTTCATGTTCGAGGATGGTGGCCAGTTCGGACATGCTGTCTCTCAACTTGGAACCGCCGCTCCTGATGACCAGCCGCTTGAGGCTGCGGTAACGGTCGTACAAAGGTCGCACCAGGTCGCGATCACCCTTTGTTGACGGCCGTCCGTGCAGACTCTCGAGGTGCAGCAGCGCCTTCTGCAGGGACACCTTTTCAGCCTGCAACTCCTCCCGACTCAGCGCCTCCAGATCAACAGGCCGACCCGCCTCAAACCGCTTCTCCTCCAGTTTCTGAAATTGCCAAAATTATTTAATTTTTTATTTTTATTAAAGTATTAAAAAAATCATACAGTTTGAACTTCTTTCAGGGTGTCGCTGAGGGTCGGGACAACGATGGTCTTGGTCTTCTCAACACTCTGCTGGACAGTCTTGTTTGCAGCTTCCTCCTTTACTTCTGCAATTTTAATTTAAAATTATATAAAAAAAATGTGGATCATTAGAAAAAGTTACGTTTGAGCTCCTTCCTCAGCTTGGTCAGTTCCGAGAACATCTTCTTCAGGTCCTTGTTGTTGAGTTTGTCGGCGTGCGAGGGTCGGTAGCCGTTCTGCGTCTCAAACTGCTCCTCGTACACCTTGATCTTCTTCTTCAGGTTGGCGATCTGCTTGTTGATCTGCTTAGTCTTGCTCTCGTGGCTCTCCTCGTCGCGCCGCCGCAGCGACTCTGAGTGCTCCACCGGCGGGCTTGGCGCCACGTTCGGGTCCATCCGCCGCGTCAGAATCACAGAGTTCCGAGGGGACAGCAACACCTGCGACTCCTCCTGAAGGCACAAACAAATATTGTGTCAACAAACAAAAAATTTGTCGCCTCTAATAATTCGCATGTAATTTTGGCAACCAATCTATTCCCTGTGACCTGACCTTTCAAATGATATGTCACACATGATATTTTAAAGCAAATTTGAATTGAGTGGTGGGGGAACCTTCCGGGCCAATGAGATTGCTTTATTTAGATAATCGTTGTTTTCTCAGTAAATATCACGGTGACCTTTACTTTTTTGGTCACTAATGGACCCCCTGTGACCCTATCTTGCTAATGGTAAATTTTATTTCAAGGTTATCAACGAAATTTGTAAATTAACCCTCAATTTAAGGAAGAAAATTATTAATGAAGCTTATTTTCAAAATCAATTAACTCAAAATGCATTGCGGTGACCCGGTGACTGACCTTTACTTTTCTAAATATATTCTTTTCAAGGGTGTGTGACAACCCCCACCCCACTTTTATTGATATGAACTTGAATTCAAAATAAATTTTATTTTGTAAGAAAAACTAAACTCACCGGTACTCTGTGGCGTGGCGGCTGAGATGGCACCGGCTCAGTGTAGCCGATTTGCTGGATGAGGGTGCTGAGGTCGAGGACGGGCGGCGCGGCCCTGGGGGTGGCCGGGGAGGGGGAGCGTTCGCGGCTCTCGCACTCGTCCTGGGGGTGCAGCTGGAGGAACGAGTGACTGGCGTTGGGCACGTCATCCTGCACATGCAGATGGTGGTGGTGGTGGTGATGGTGGTGCGCCCGCTCGTTCTCCTTGCTGCCCTCGGAGGAGGAGGGGGGCGCGCCCCGGCGCGTCTTGCGCGGCTGGTGGTGCCGCCGGTTGCCCCCGCGCGGGGTCGACGACCTGGGGAAACTGGCAAACCTTTCCGAGCTGCGGCGCCGCTCGTGCTCCAAATCCTCTTCCTCCATCGGCGCCTCCACACAATTGTGCTCATGCAGGGGAAGCATCTGAAACAAAAACTTCATGAGCATCCTGTTAAAATTGAAATTTTGTTTTCTTTGAAAACAAAGATGGCTGCCATTTTAAATTTTAAAATTAATAATAATTTGGTTAATATTTATCCAAAATTAATTTTTAAAAAAACTTTGTTACAGAGAAAACTATCTTATGGAATTTCAATTTTCTGAAAGTTGTCAGGTACTTTAAATATTAATAATTACATTTTTATTTGTTCCAGTCTCCTCCACGTCTTGAATCATCGCCTTTGGCGTTTTTTCTTTTTCACTTGGCTCGTCACTAGACCGCTCTTGCGAGTTGGACCTAAGGACAGATAATCAAATCACGATTAGGGCAATTGATCAGGCAATCAATCAAAAGATTAAACGGCTTTAATTTAAACAAATATTTCAAACAAATTCTTAATAAAAAAAACTGATGAGGAAATGAATTAAATTTTATTGCCGTGCACTTGATGATTCTCACTTGAGGCGAAGAAATATAATTTGTGCAATAAAAGGGGCAATTATCCGCTGCGTTATTTTGCAAGCACCCCTTTATTGCCAAGTGTCTCTCGTTTTTCTAATCGCCTCATGTGCGCGTGTCGCAACAAGTGCATGGGATGTTGAAATTACGAAATTAGAAAGAAAAAAAAGAGTCGACGGACCTGATGACCTTGCGCTCCTGCGGGATCTGCGAGGAGCCGGCGCTCTCGTGCCGCTCCTTGCGCTTCCGGTGCTGGTGGGCCAGTTCGGGCACCTCCACGCACACCTCCAGCGGCGGCTCGCCGTGCATGCTGCAACAAATATTTGCGTCTCTTATCAAACTGAACAAAATCCTCTCGCTCTAAACGTTTCACGAAATTATAAAAAATGATGAAAATTCTTGTGCTTTTAATGAATGAAATAAAAACAATTGTAAGTCCTTTATAAAGTGATTCATTTTTCTCGTTTCAGATTGATAAACTGATAATAAACTCCCGGAGTTTTCTACTGCGAACACGGAGTGACGCAATTTCTTATCAAGAGGAAAACAAAACAGGTTAATTAACACAAGTGGTGAAAGAATTATCTTAATCCCACTTCAAATCAATCAAAATGAAGCGGATGAATTCAAAGCAATTGAGTTGATTTAAAAAATTGCATTCTAATTTAATCAATTGCAAAATATTTAGCCAAATTTCAATAGGCAACTTTATCCGCGTCGCATCTCTGGATTATGCCACGCATCAACGGCCTTGGCCAATTATATTGTGCTCCGGCCGGGAATGCGTGTGTTTCCCTGACAATTGCCAAAAGTCTCGCATTTGGGGCAAGGCCGGTCGGCCGGGCGAAATCCGCGCATGTCACTCGGCGCAGGCCTGTTTTTTGTTAGCTGCGAAAACTACTGAAAAATAGGCCAAAGGTCCTTCAACTCTCGAAAAACAAGTTGATTGACAGCTGGATTCATTTCAAAAACAGGCCAAGGGAACTTTTTTTACATTTCATTTTCTTGGATTTAATTTCAGGTTCTTTTGGTAAGTGTTAATTTGCCATTCAAACTGAAGTTGGCACGCGAAAGATTTACAGGATTTTGTTTTCGTGTGTATAAATGTTGTTGTTTCCGAAGTGGCCAAGGTGTTGCGCGTCGCAGTTGGCTCTCGTAACAATTATCCCGGCACTAAATGGCTCGTCCTTTTCTTAGCTTTTCTCTTTCAATCGCTGCAGCCTCTGTGCCGGTCTAAAAGCGGCGCAACCTCCGCATTTCACGTTTGATTCGATCGGAATACAAGGCAAATTATTATTTCCAGGTGCCAAGAGAGTTCGCCAAAGAGCGAATTCGGTCCAGCGGCGAGTCCGGTCTATTTGCGTCCCAGATTGGCGCCTCGTTATTGCACGCGGACGCTACTATTTTCACGCCGTCAGTCAATTATGACACAAATAAAAATAAGCCAACGTAAAAGCCTTAAAATTTTTTATTTGTAGGAAATTAAACATCAATTGTTTTTATTTTTCCATTGATTTGAGATTAAAGAATAATAATTAAATGTTATTTAAATAAAATAAATGTTCTTCTTAATTTAAGTCTCATTTTTCTTCTAATCCGGCACTTTTGTTGGTTAAAATAAAGAGATTTGAGACGTTTTAAAATAAAATTAACCTTTAAAATTTTAAATATTTCCATTTAAATTTTGAATGTTGTTGTAATTTGATGTATTTAAACATAGGTTAATCGCTTTTCATGTAATTCTATCAACATATTATGTTATTTTTAAGCTTGAATTTGGACGATCCGTGCTCATTTGATTACTTTGAAGTTGCTTTTTCCATTAACTGTTAGGACAGCTTTTAGCAAAAGTGAGGAACCGCGCGGGGGTCCAAATTAAATTCGCGCACAGCAATTAGCGGCTGCGAAACAATGAAGCACCTCTAATGGCACCGTCGTGACGCACGTAAGCCAAAAGTGCCAAGTTCTTTTGCTGCTGGTTTATTTCTTGGCGTCAACAAAGGCGGCCGAAACCAGTTCAACCCAGGCCAACTCTCGAAAACATTGACAAATTTGAAAGCGTTAATGGAGTTTTAAATCGGAAATGAGAATAAGGGCCAACAAGTTCAAAGACCCTTTAAAAGTTTGAGAGAGAAAAAAAGGACAAACTTCAATAATTTTGTCAGTTTCTAGAATTTTTTTCTATATTTATGTTAATTTTCAGCTGGCAACAATGATTTTTAAAAACGGTTTGGTAGAATTAAATGTTATTCCAACTTCAGATTTTGAGCAGGTTTCTTTCGCTGCGCAATGGATGGTCCGAGTGATGTTAGGACGGCGTGCAAATCGGATGAGGTTTGCGCCGCAAATAGAATTCAGAGAGCCGCGCGAATTGTCACGGCGCGGCGGTGTTTTGATCCGCGTGTTTCTATTGTGCGCCAATTATTCCCCCGCAGCTCCATTCGCAGAATCGCTCCCCGAATCTGGGACGATTTGCGAGAGAAGATTTGGCAACGAGGAAAATAACATCAGCCCTCACTGTTTTCAAATCTTGATAACAACATTTACTTTTACAGTATAAAAAAAAAGGTTAAAACGTTAACATTTTATTTTGAAGGGAATTTAAATTTTCAATTATAAATTGAGATCTTTAAGCTTTTGGAAATGGAAAAAACGGACAAAAACGTTCAATTTTGTGTTTCTTTTTTACCTTTTTTTAAATATCGGTTTTAAAAATCTGAATTATCGGCCAAATGTGAAAGGTCTTTGACTACATAATATGTTTGCCGCGAGCACGAAAAAGGATTTGTTTGTCAAAGAGACTTGGTGAGTTTGCAGGTAGGCGTGCGCGCGGTGAATCGCGGCGCTAAAAATACACGTGAGCAAGCATATATTATGCACTTTACATTGCAGTACAAAACTGGTTTGCAAAGAGGGCGGAGCAACTTTGTCGCGGGCCGAAAATTCACTTTGAAAATTGCTTTTTTCCTCTGCGAGCGCGATCAGCAACTGGGAACAAGTGGATGATTGCCCAGAGCTAAACGGCCATCGACCCAAATCACCCGCGCACCCGCCATTAAAACTTTCATTAACTTGGATATAATTTTAATCAACTCTGGGACAGACAAGGGTCACATCATCAGATGTTGCAAACGAAAAACTGGCTGCCTCGTCAAAAGATCAGAACAAAAGTAACATTTCGAATTAAGCTTTTCAAGCATCATTTGATTTCATTTTTTTTTATCTGTCAGCTGAAATAAGGACCAAAATTATTTCAAAATTTTTTAAAGTTCTTTTTGCCTTTATAACTTCAAGGACTGTCTTCAGTCTTCATCACTTGCAGTTTCTCTCCAATTGCTATTTTCGTTGCTCATTTTTCTCATTATATGGTTTCAGATTTGAAGCCCCGCAAGTGCAAACGTGTCACGCTTATAATAATGCGCTGCTCCGACCAAGATTATTGAAATTCAACCCGACGATTATAATGCACGTGACGTCACTTGCTGGCAAAACTGACCATTCCCATTTTTTCCTGCCTCGCCGATTCGAAAGAGTTTCTTTTCAGCTCACTTTGAATTTCTGCGTCACGAATGACAAAAAGGGACGAAATTATTCGAGGAAAACGAGTGCAACCTTGGCAGTTTCAAAGTAATTAAAGTTGTGAATGATTATACGCTTGGCTAAGAAAAGTGCTTCCTCGTCGCATTCCATTCAAATGACTCTTTTCTCGAATATTCTTATTCGCGTGAAATATTTAAAGCAAAAAACAGTAATTTTATTCTACGTTTTTAGACGTCAGTTTCAAATAAAAAAATTTGAAGTCATTGGGAGAGCTAATTTTTTAAATTAAACATGATTTCATAAGTGAATTTTCTATAAAATAATTATTTTTTCAAAGTTTGCCTGATAAAAATTTGACCAAATCACGTTAATTTCACCTCAATTAAGATGGAAAGATAAAATCAATAAGTTGACATGAAAAATTTGCATTGATCTTTTAGGAAAAGTTTCGGAAGTTTTAATTTCAGCAGTGGAAGATTTTTGCATACCTGTCGTCGAAGGTGCGGGGCGGCGCGAAGGCGCTGAGCAGCGCGTGGTTGATATGTTGCGGCGCCACGCACATGACTTTGTGTCGGCGGCGCGGTCGGGCCTTGACTGAGGAGCGATCACCGGCACTTGGAGTGCGGCCGTAGTAAACAACGCCCCCCGCCACCGCAGATTGTTTCAAGACGTGCCAAACCAATTCTCCTCCGTCTCAAAACAAACTGCGCAGTTAACCAAAGCAAAGCAACCACCGCATTCCGACCAATTATCATTGAGAGTTATTAAAGAGACAAGCCACGCGGCCGAGACCCCTGCAATTGTTCTGCCCTTTCAATTTGATTTACGCGCAGTTTGTTCAAAAAAAGCGTGATTTATGCAATTCGAGTTGCATAACTTGTGCAGAGACTTGAAAACAACCGAAAATAGCCCAAACTGTTTGTCTTTAACTTTTGCTTGGCAACCGATTTTCGTAATTAAAAAATCAAGGGCTTTGAAACAGCAAGATTTAAAAAAAAAATGGCCCATCATTTTCATTTTGATGAAGTTTTTCCCTCCATTAACAACATCCTTTAATCTTTCAACAATTGCTATCTCTTTAATAAAATCGCACCAAATAAAGCAAAAACTAAATTTATAATTGACAATAAAATTTCTTTAATTGCGATCAGAATTTAAAGTTCCTCTTTTTACAAATGATTTTGGTGAGAAGGAACTTTCTTTAAATTTTAATGCTTGATTGAACTGAACTTGTTTTCTATTTTTTTGCAAGGAGAGCGCAAAGAACGCGGAAGGGAGTGTGTTTGTTTTGTCTGGCGACCGAAAATGCATCCGCGTCAGCAGAATGCATCTCTTTTAATTTCTTTTGTCGCGGCCGCAGCGATTCTTCGAAGCAGCGCGGCTTTCTCCAAAGCCGCGGCGACGCCAAAAGGAAAGGAGGCTCGTCGGCCCGTCTAAAGCGTTGACCCCGCCGACCTTGGCCAATAAATAATTGCATTCCATATGACGTCACGGCCAGCTAATTAAAATAATTCATTCGATTTATTGGTTTGCATCAAAATTGAATGCGGCCTGAATGATTGTCAGAGGCACAAATAAGTCTCTTTTGTTATTGATCGGATAATCAATGTCGCTTCCACAAAGTAAACAAATAATAGCCTTTTTGACAAAGAAACTGTATTATTATGCAAATGATTGTTTGGCAATTTTCATACAAAATGAGAGCGGTGGAAATTTCCACTCGTTGCGAGTTCCGAGTTCAAGTGAAAATTTCAAATTTTGTCACTGGAA